CTCAGTTTGGGAAATGCTCGAATATGATAATTCTGCGTGTGAGTGCACTAGCCCTGAACATACATGTAGGTGACCCGTTTGTGGTGTCTCATAGCCTACCTCACGACCTTCTGCTTTCTTTCTGCATCACTTGTATCTTGCAGGTATATCATCCCAGTGTCTGCTCCAGGATTGTAGGACAGCCGGGTACACGTGTACCTGGCGCAACCATTTCAACCGGGTGGGAGCCGGGTACACATGTACCCGGCATGTACGCCCAATGATCTAAAGCCGAATGGGTAAGCCGCATTTAGAAAAGAGAGGACAGGAATTACAAAATTACGAAAGAAGAAGAAGTATCTGACACATACAACGATACAAGCCATGTAGTCAGTCCTTTCAAAGTTCGAAAGTGTAAAGCACCAACCGGGTCACAGGTGACCCGGTACTATATTTTCAACCGGGTCCAAGCGCCGCCCAACCGGGTGGATTACCCGGCTCACCCGGCGCTGGAGCAGACACTGCATCCTGTGACGACCACATTGAAGTCTGAATTTGAAGTGTGAAGATGCTTCAGCAACCACATAGTACTTTTCCATTGCTTTCATTGTGCTTCTACTGTGCATGTGTGTAAGTTGTGATGACATTGTGTGCTGGCGACACGGTCAGATTTTGTCCATGCGTGTTACGTACACCTGCATGTTATGCATTGAAAAGGATCTGCCACTTGCGATCCTGGGACGAGGATCAGGTCACCGTTGTCTTGTGTGGGCTGTACCAGATTGCTGTTCACTTCTCTATCTGTTGGATATCATTACCGTATTATCTCTAATATAAGCACAGTCTCCAATAATAGCACGTCTCCAATAATAGAACACCTTGGGGCGGCATTCAAAAAATACAGTGCTCAGTCTCCATTATAAGCACACTGTGTAAATTCATTATCTGTATCGGCGAAAAAGCCCTGAAATGTGTGTGTCTGACATGAATTTGGCCGTGGCAACATGCCTCTGAAATGAGGTTGAAATAATAATGGAACAGTCTCCAATAAAGGAACGTCTCCACTAATAGCCCGGGGCGGAGGTACATTGAAAAAATAAAGGACCGTGCTTATATTAGAGATAATACGGTATGTGACTTTCTGCAAGTTTCTGGTGTATGGTGGCCACTTCTTTGCTTGTCACTTTGTATGATATTACATTCTGTATTCGCTGCTTCCATGCCGTGGTCTGCAAACTGCAATCCTTGGGCAAATGTCATGTTTGCTATGTTATGCTTTGGCGTCAGCTTGTCTACACATTGTACAGTCAACTTCGCGTATAACGACACTCGGCGGGGCATCAGAAAAGTGTCCTTATTCGCGAAGTGTTGTTATACCCGAAGTCCCATTATATGTATTACAGTTGGATGGGACTTTGCTCTGGGCATGGAAATTCTGTCGTTATTCGCGAATTGTCGTTATATCCGCAGTCGTTATTAGCGAAGTTGACTGAAGTTGAATTATTTTGTTTCACAACTGACTTCCTGAAGTACGGTCGCCACTGCTTTGCATGGCATTATACATGAAGAATTTCCTGTTTGTGTCGTGTGCATGTGCGTATGTGTGCGTGGCCACGTGCGTGTGCCGTGTGCATGTGCGTATGTGTGCGTGGCCACGTGCGTGTGCCGTGTGCATGTGCGTATGTGTGCGTGACCACGTGCGTGTGCCGTGTGCACCCGCGTGTTTGTGTATCTGTGTGCGGGGTAGCGAGGTGGGGAGGGCTGGTATGTATCAGTGTGTTATTGTAGTCTCATGGCTACATACAGTACATCGCACGCGTGCTCATCATGTTTACCTTCGGGGTTGGGGTGGGGAGGGAACGGAAAAAGAACTGAAATTATCCATATAAAACCGCTCTGTGAGCGGTTCTGAAAACCTTTACTGGTGCTGCCCCGTCGTAAAAGTAAGAAATTAGAACTGGAGCATTGTCCCCCCAAAAGCGAACAGATCCACCTAAATTGCGAATGACGGGACCTGAACGCACCAGTAGCACGAGGTTCCTAGCCGTGGATGCAGATGGAGACGTTGGTCCAGACCATAGGCAATGGCCGTCGATAATTGTACGTGTACTAACAATACACTGCCACTGATACAATGTGCAATGTACTGCACTATAGTAGTGGTGGTGTTACCCTATGATAATTGCTGTGATCCTGTGCCCTCCCGACCTCGTGCTACTGGTGCATTCGGGTCCCGTCATTCGCCATTCAGGTGGATCTGTTCGCTTTTGGGGGGACACTGCTCCAGTTCTAATTTCTTACTTTTACGACGGGGCAGCACCAGTAAAGGTTTTCAGAACCGCTCACAGAGCGGTTTTTATATGGATAATTTACAACTATGCCCACATCACCACACGCTTTTACTCTTAACCCAAATGCAGCCCCGTTCTCTCCCGGCCGACAATCGCAAGTGACCGCACTGAACCCTCTTGCTCCACCATTCCAACCGTCCCCTTTGACTTTCAACTTTGCACCTTGTATTCCTGATATAAAGTCTCCGTCGAGTATCAGGATCTGCACAGTTAACGCATGCAGCTGGCTGAAGCGGGCTGATGAGATTAAAAACTTATTCTGCACATCTCAACTAGATATATTGGGCATAACTGAAACCTGGTTGACTCCTGATATCACAAGTTCAATATTAACACCGTCAGCTGAATACAAAATCATCCGGCATGACCGTCACAACAATACCGTGCGACGTGGAGGTGGAGTGGCATTCCTCCTCCACCCTTCCATTTCCCATACTACCAAACATCGTCCAGATCTTCAGCCTGCTGATCCAACCATTGAAATTGTGTGCATAGAACTAGAGCATCGCCACAACTCCACGTTTGTGTTCTGTTGTTACCGTCTTCCTTGGCAGCCACCTGATCAGTTCTGCAGCGTACTCCAGACCTGCATTCAATCAATATCTTGTCCTCAAGCTTCCATATTTGTCATTGGCGACTTTAACGCTCGCCTCTCGAAATGGCTAGCATCCGATCCTGATACACCTGCTGATACATGCATGGTATATACAGAACCCTTGCTTGCGAGCCACCCAGGAGCCAAACAAATGCATTTACATTTTTTTCACATTTTCGTGCCCATTCTGTCCGTGCGCGGGACCCAAACCTAAAACAAGTCCAGAAGCAGCCATGGGTGGTGGGGTAGGGCCCCTCAACGTGGCCCTGGAATCTGTCACAACGGAACGAGTGGGCGTTCTCTCGCGGACTCCCACAGACCCAAGTCAATTATTTTTGAATTTTTTAGGTTTAGGGTGTGCTACGAGGTCGTACCTTTGATACAACATCCAGTGCTGGGACCTCCACAGCAAGCCATTTCCACAGCGCTGCACACCAAATCCAGGATGCCCTCAGAAACCGGCAAAGACCGCCACTCACGTTTCACTACTGCCTAGTACTGAATCCTACCTGACTTCTTGACACGACTCAAACTAACGTTACCATGGTTACTTGCCAAAGTCACTAAATGAACGTCAACTACAATAATCAAGCCACATATCTGCAACGTCACGAGGGTGCTGGCAAAAGTCCTGCTGCACGGCGGCGGGCTTCGCCCGCCGCCGTGCAGCCCAATACGTGGTTTTTTAACGTGATTTTTTGGACTTTTTTGGACTTGTGGCAAAATTCTGCACACTTTCGCGTGTTTCCATAATACGACAAGTTGCGCACGGTCTGCTCACATTCAAATACAGTGCTGCCAACAAATGACAGCATGCAACAAAAAAATCTTTCCTTGCAAGGGCACATTTTCGGCCATAACTCTTGAACGGCTGGTCAGATAGGGACACAATTTTCAGAGAATTTGCAGCTATTCATGCTCTTTCAACTGACGTAGCACTCAATATGAATTTACAAATTCGATTTTTCAGCGAATTTTTGGGTAGTCTGCCACCTTGACTACCCAAAAATTCGCTGAAAAATCGAATTTGTAAATTCATTAAGGTGGCAGACTACCCAAAAATTCGCTGAAAATCGAATTTGTAAATTCATATTGAGCGCTACGTCAGTTGAAAGAGCATGAATAGCTGCAAATTCTCTGAAGATTGTGTCCCGATCTGACCGGCCGTTCAAGAGTTATGGCCAGGGAGTCGTAAAATACCATATTTTACGACTCCCTGGTTATGGCCGAAAATGTGCCCCTAAGGCCTTGCAAGGAAAGATTTTTTTGTTGCACGCTGTCATTTGTTGGCAGCACAGTATTTGAATGTGAGCAGACCGTGCGCAACTTGTCGTATCATGGAAACACGTGAAAGTGTGCAGAATTTTGCTATAAGTCCAAAAATCAGGTTTTTGAGCCACGCATTGAGCTGCACGGCGGCGGGCGAAGCCCGCCGCGGCGCCGCCGCGCCGTGCAGCAGGACTTTTGCCAGCACCCTCGTGACGTTGCAGATATGTGGCTTGATTAGTTGACATTGATTTAGTGACTTTGGCAGTTGTGAGTCGTGTCAAGAAGTCAGGTAGGATTCAGTACTAGGCAGTATTCATGGTATTAGTGAAACGTGAGTGGTAGTCTTTGCCGGTTTCTGAGGGTATCCTGGATTTGGTGTGCAGCGCTGTGGAAATGGCTTGCTGTGGAGGTCCCAGTACTGGATGTTGTATCAAAGGTACGACCTCGTAGCACACCCTAAACCTAAAAAAATTCAAAAATTGACTTGGGTCTGTGGGAGTGTGTGAGAGAACGCCCACTCGTTCCGTTGTGACAGATTCCAGGGCCACGTTGAGGGGCCCTACCCCATCACCCATGGCTGCTTCTGGACTTGTTCTAGGTTTGAGTCCCGCGCACGAACAGAATGAGCACGAAAATGTGAAAAAAATTGTAAATGCATTTGTTTGGCTCCTGGGTGGCTCGCACACCGTGGCACTATGCCGGAAATTTGAGTTTTTCCGGCCTGGAAAGCCTGTCAGTGAGGCGCAAGAACTTGTAAATCATGTCCTGAGGGCCAGCATAGTGGCAAGAGTGTGTGGTCAAAATTTCACTCAAATCCATTGAGAAACACCAAAGTTACAGTCAATTGAATGCCATATGAAATGTATGGGTAGGCTGCCCCCTTAAGCTGTTGATATACCTCGGGCCGTCTACACCTTCCGCTTTTTTGCCTCAACCATCACCCACCAGATTAACACGTATGTCAGCTTATTTTTCAACCATTGCTGGTACTTATGTAATTATGTCGCTTCTACTCTGCTTTCTGGTTCTGTCGCAACTCCAGGTGGCAACAGTCTTGTGTCATCATGAATTGCACATACAGTAAATCTCCTGCATCAGCAAATGCTCACATACCAGTAGTTTCAATGTTTTCTGAGTCTGCCTGTCTTTGCCTGCCCATGTCTCACCCACTCAATCTCTCTCTCTCTCTCTCTCTCTCCCTCCCCCCTTCTCTTCGTAGATCTACTGTTCAGCCGCAGTTCAATCCTGTCAACTACAGCACTCAGACACCGATCGGTGTGGCTGGTCTAATCAGCCCCTGGAATCTACCGCTGTACTTGCTGACATTCAAGATTGCCCCAGCCCTGGCTGCGGGCAATACAGTTGTGGCAAAGCCCAGTGAAATGACATCAGTCACTGCATGGATGATGTGCAAGGTGTTCCAGGAAGCAGGCAAGTGCATACTTGCCAACCCCTGGCAAACAGTTTCCTTGACACTGATGACGTTTTTCCTTGATTTTGCCCATTTTTCCTTGATCTGCAATTTTTGCATCATAATTGTGCAAAATATTGTATATGACATCATAGTGACGTCACCATGAACACAAAACATTCGCAAAATAGTACAGCATGTACGGCCAAAAAGTACTTTTTCATGCGCGAACACAAAAGTTCACACTCGCTAGACTTTCGTTTTGGGCACAGCACTGCGAGCGAGCATCCAAAACACTGAAAATCAACAAAAAAAGGTGTTGACGGACATTTTCGAAAATCCGGTAGATGTAACTTTTCCGGTGTACCGGGACGAAAGCGAGTTTTCCTTGATTTTCCCGGAAATTCCGGTAGGGTTGGCAAGTATGCAAGTGGTCGTGTTACCCTGGTGTCATGTACACAGAGTGCTTTGGACTTTGCCCAATCTGCTACCGTTAGTGGGGACAAGTGCTTGCCGTTCGATCTAAGTTCTAATTTTTATTCCAGTTGACTCCGAAATTTCACAACCACCAGATTTCGTTCTTGACCGCCTCTTTTGTGATCTAGCATACACCATGTACGCTGCATTCACCGTAGCCAGTTGAGTGTTCATTTACAGTACTGTTGGGGCGACGAAGAATGGAACACCGAAGAACCGAGCTAGAATTTTACCAAGCACATCACACCATTATGTACACACGGTGACTCAACAGTGCATAGACTCTAATACATGAGAATAAGAACGGGTTAGGCTAGAAGGCTGACCCCCCCCCCCCCCCCAGTTCTTTGGAAACCGACTGTACTGTAGTTTGTATGAGGATGTGTATAATGTGTATAATGTGTATAATGTGTGTTGCATACTGTACAATGTCATGTACAGTCACACTGTTGTTGTTGTTGTTGTTGTTGTTGTTGTTGTTGTTGTTGTTGTTGTTGTTTCAAGACCTCTAACTGTTAGTACTGTGCCTGATGTTATGGTATTCTCTAGGCCTGCCAGCCGGTGTGTGCAACGTGGTGTTTGGCACCGGCGCAGTCACTGGCCAGGCGCTGACCTCGCACCCAGATGTACCTGTCATCTCATTCACTGGTGGAACGGCAACGGCCGAGGTGATTCGTCGCACCATAGCGCCGTTCAATAAGAAAGTGTCGCTGGAGGTAAGGTGACGACGTGTAGGGTGTGGCATCCAACACCAGTATATAGTAGTGTAGCCATTGGTTAGCTGTATGTCAGGGTGTGGTGTTGATCGCAGTACATCAGTGCGTGATGTTGCTTGCACTACGTCAGTTTGTGATATTGATTGCACTGCAGCAGTGTGTGATGTTGCTTCCAGACTGAGTTCCAGACTGAGTAACATGATAGTTTCTAACATCACTTCCCACTAGTAATGACATGCTACATCACACCTAGTGTGACCTAGTACATTGCACTGACATTAACCCTGCATAACACCTTCATTTCACCTGCGTAACACCTTCATTACACCTACCATGAGTATAGATTAGGCTGCACTTCTCTCATTTAGCTTCTTTCTGACAAGTGCTCGACTCTTTTCGATTCAGTTTTGGTTGTCCTCCTCTTTCGTTGACTATGAAATGCTTTCCGTCTGGTTTGCCGTGTTATAGTGTTCTGGTCCTGACTGGATTTATGTTTTGCGTGCTTTTTAGGGCTCTCTGTGTTGTCTTCTTAAAAAAATGCATGTTATGTGTGTGTGTGTGTGTGTGTGTGTGTGTACGTGTGTATGTGTTTGTGCGCGCGCGTGTGTGTGTGTACGCGTACGTGTGTTCGTGCTTGCTACAGCTGGGAGGCAAGAACCCATCCGTGGTGTTTGAGGACGCTAATCTAGATGAGTGTGTTGCAACACACCTGAGGTAGGTGCATCAATCACTGGCACTTTTTGGTGCGTGCTTGTGTGTACTTTGTACACATTTGTGTGCATGTGTGTGTGTGTGTGTGTGTGTGTGTGTGTGTGTGTGTGTGTGTGTGTATGTGTGTGTGTGTGTGTGCATGTGTGCGTGCGTGCATATGTGTTGACTTTACAGGTGCATGTGTGCTCATGGGCAGTTGCTCAGCTTTACAAACTGTTGAAAGGCGTTAAGATGTTCCTGTGTCAATTCTGTGCACGTGTGTGTGTGTGTGTGTGTGTGTGCGTGTGTGTGTGTGTGTGTTCGCGTGCATGCTTGCACTTCAGGTCCTGCTTTGCCAACCAGGGAGAGATCTGTCTGTGCACTAGCCGCGTCTTCGTTCAGGACACTATCTACGATCTGTTTGTGGAGAAATTCGTGGCTGCAACACGGTAGGTGAATACTTGCATATTACTTGGCTACCTCCATTGTACAGTATCATCGTGTTAGGAGCTAGTAGTGTGCTGTAGTTGCTATAGGTTAAGTTGTGTATCTGTTTGACAATCTACTGGAGAAGTAGCTGTCCTGCAATGGCAACGGTGACTTGTGGTGGTTGCCATGTACGCACACCAGAGGCGAAGATCTGTTAGACTGTTTAGCTGTAACTTCAAGTTTCATGCATTTAGCGATCATCAGATAACGGCATGGTATATTGCTTTGTACATGTGTGTATTGAGCACTCTATTCGAGCTGCTTTGACCGGCCCTGTTTGTAGTGACCCTGTACAAATTTCTCCATACGTGAAGGAAAAATGGCCGATCAACTTTCATGTAGCAGTTCTGTTCCCTGTCATCATGTCGTGGATACGGTGTCTACCTTGACTTAAGTATGAGTGTTTATGGTTTTGTTTACACCATGCCTTGATCATTGAGGGTGGCGGCGTTCCTACGGCTGCGGAAAACTCTGTCTATCCGTGTCTCAGGCGAACCGTGCCATTTTTCACCTTTCTGTTATCTCTTCTCCCCCTGTCCAAATACTGCAGCACTCTGACAGTGGGTGATCCGAAAGCAGCCGGCACCAAGGTCGGTGCCTTGATCAGCGCTGAGCATCGTGACAAGGTAGGCAAACGTGTGGCTTAGAAACTACTTAAAACTAGAATCACTGCTTCGTGTGTGGTTGTCTTGTTGCTGGTTGAGGCTCTGCAGTCGGGAACAGCTTACTTACAGCAGTCATTCTTGCTTGCCCAATGCACCCGTGTGTGATTTGTGTGACTTTCTGATGAAGTGAATCGCCAATTTGTGCTGTTCAATGTTGAAAACCACACACTGCCTCCATCCACTGTAGTTCACTCTAACGCTGTTCTGTAGAATGAAACCCTTTTCTGTTGCTAGTGTAGGCTATGTTACTCCTATTGACTGGCCTTGTCCAGTGACACTTGCTCTGTCCCAAACCATCGCCAGTTTCCTTCATTGCAGCAGGCTCTGTAAAGGGCGTATGGAAATAAGCATAGTGTGGACTCTACTTGGTGTGTGTGTGTTTCTGTTTACAGGTGAAGTCGTACATTGAGATTGGCCGTAAGGACGGACGCGTGTTGTGCGGTGAGGGTGTGGATGCACCAGTGCAGTTGCCAGAAGGATTGCAAAAGGTGAGCGTGCTGGGGTAGGGAGGAGTACCTGTTCATTATTTCGTTTGAAAACTGGCTCCTTCACCACTGTCAGCACTGAAGAGTGTATTGTACTTCAGGTAGAAAGACTACTTACCCTATGCAGCTCTGATCTCTTGTCTAAGTCGCATGGCTGCTGTCTTCTTTGCAGAATGTAGCTTCATCTGTGCACTGCGGCTAAAAACTACATCTTCCCTGCGGTTTGAAACTAGCTCTCCGAATCTCGGGTCAACTGAAGTGCGTGCACCCAGCATTTAGGGATGGTGCCTCTGTTCTGCAACAAGTCAGATTTCATTAGCCAGCGTTGTATGTACTGGTAGATCTACACAGTGCTGCTTATTGGGCTTAGAGAATGAGAGAGAGTTCTCCCTGTCAGTGTTTCTGATACATGTACAGTTGTGCTCGGTGAAATTCCACCCAACGTGCAAAGCTGGCAGGCACCCTGGACTAGTTCTCAGAATCTGCTTACATCATTGTTTTCGTACATGTCGTTGTGTACGTCCAGGTGCATTCGTACCATTTCCAGGGTGTCAAGGGCATGCAAGTTCAGGGCGCCAAATATGCACTCCGGGTTGGATTTCTGGTTGGATTTCTGGTTGCATTTCACCGAGCTCAACTGTACAAACAGCATCCACTCAAAAAAAAGCTCTGCTATTGGCCAGTACTGCAGTGTATCTGCTGGTAGTGATAATGGTCATGTGACGCTGTGTGTGTGTGTGTTTTGTGTGTGTATTTTGTGTGTGTGTGTGTGTGTGTGTGTGTGTGTGTGTGTGTGTGTGTTTTGTGTGTGTTTTGTGTGTGCATTGCCAGGGGTACTATGTTCAACCCACTGTGATTGTAGGCTGTCCAGATTCCTCACGCTGTATGCAGGAAGAGATATTTGGTATGTAGCGTTATACGTCTGTCTGTATGCATGTCTGTCTGTGCACGTCCACCCATCTATTTTGCTCTGATCCGTTGACACTGTATTGATTGAGTGGTTGTGGTTGCCTTGGTTACATGGTGCACGTGTAGGATCTGTCACCATGGTCACAGGCAGTACATGTACATGAAGTAAAAAATTGATTTCTTGTTTGTGTTCACTGCTTGTGTGTGTTTGCAGGTCCTGTTGCATGTATCAGCAAGTTTCATTCACAAGAGGAGGTAAACTGCTGCTGCTGCTATTGCCGCATTTGTTGCTGCTGCCGCCGGCGGTGCTGCTACTGCTGCTGCCTACGCAACCATCGTTGCTTCTGCGAGTGCTTCTGTGAATAATCATTGTTTTAAATGAGAACATGTATCAGTATGAGAGTGTATGGATCTCAGGTGACAGAAGACTAGTGTTGGGCTGGTATTTGTGACCGCAGCTTTGAAGTTTTAGATGCAGATGGGAAACCTTGTGTACACTATGAGCTTGATGGCCAGGAAGCTCTGAGTTTGTGAAACTCAACTACGTTTTATCAATGGGGTAAACGTCAATAGCACATGTTAGGACGGATTACACATGTTTCCCTCTTGACATAGCAACCCCATCTGCATTACAGCCGTCCTCTTGCCGTCCTCTTGCCGTCCTCTTGCCGTCCTGGTGTTTACATGTATGTGTGCTTCTACTGTTGATACCGCATGTGATGAACCAACGAATATTGCTCTCCGTGTGTGTGTGTGTGCGCGCGCGCGCGCGCGTGCACGTATGTGTGTTTGTGTATGCGTGTGTGCGTGTGTGTATGTGTATAATGTGTGTGTGTGCACGCATCTATGGACGGTGGCCGTGTGTGCATGTGTTGTTCCTTGCCTTCGCCCCCACCGTAGGTGATAGAACGTGCCAATGGTGTCAAGTATGGCTTGGCAGCGTGTGTCTGGTCGAGAGATATCTCCAGAGTGCACACTGTTGCTCATGAACTGCATGTACGTACAGTGCCTCGTACCTGGCTGCGTCCGATGCTGTTTGGGATTACAGTGAACCTGGTTGAGAAGAATACTGATAACTTGTGATAAGACATACATGTACCTGCACTTTGTAAGAGTTAGAAGAATTAGTATTCATTACTCTATTGGATAAAACACTGTCTATTCACTGGGTATACAATATGGATAAGAAGAACTCACGTCATTGCAAGCAATTACCACCCCGGTCCCTTAGTGTTTGTCCTAAAGAGGTTTGGTTGTAGCGTGTGTGATTACCTGTTTGTGATGTGTTATGGGCATGCCTGTACTTTGTACGTGTGTGTGTGTGTGTGCGTGTGCGCGTGTGTGTACGCGTGTGTATTTTCTGTACAGGCTGGGACTGTGTGGACAAACTGTTGGATGGTGCGTGATCTGAACATGCCCTTCGGAGGCATGAAAGCCAGTGGTACAGGACGAGAGGGATTCAAGGACTCCATGGAGTTCTTCACCGAGTCCAAGACAATCTGCATCAAGATGTGATATCTGAGCGTAGGCTGAGCGGCACATGACCTGATACCTCTGCCATACACATGCACATGTGTGTGATTGGACACGATCACAGAAGGACTGGTTGTGCAAGTGCAAGTTACAGTGCTCTGGAAGAGACAACTGTGAGTTTTCCCTGATGGTGTCGCCATGCATAGTACAGTGCTGTGATTTGCTCATTGCTATTATGCCAAGATGGCCAACTACAACTACAAGGGGACGTACCAAGATGGCCATCTACAAGGGGACGACTTGCACGTGTGCATATGCGGCTCTAGTCATGTAGGTACTGCGGCGGGCATAGGCACAATCGGCGTTCACCTGTGCCATAGTGTGTTGTCTGACATGCCTTGGTGTTGGCTGCGGGCATCCAGCACACCTACCTGTGTCACCAGTGTGTGTGTGTAGGCATTTCTAGTTTTGTTTCCGTAGTCACTTCAGTTGTAGGGTCAGGGCATGCTGTATGTATTCTGTGTTGTGTAGTACAACGTGCAGTGCAGTATGCATGCTGTGTTGTGTAGTACAACGTGCAGTGCAGTATGCATGCTGTGTTGTGTAGTACCTAGTACTAGCAATGTTGCACGGATGTGAGAAGCATCATGTACATGCGTGAGTGTGACACTGGCAATTATTTGTTCTGTGCATTCTACCTCGAAGTAACTTTCCTACGATTTCATAGTCATTGAGTGAAATGCTGTATGAATAAGTGAAAAATGCTAACCTAAGTATCTATTATTGCACGATTAAAGAGGTCAATATATGAAATATAGAACGAGTAAAAGACCGAGGTCCCCCGAGGTCTTTTACGAGGTCTATATTTCATATATTGACCGATTATGAGGGCAATAATAGATTTATCACGACATAGCATACCTAAAACTGTTTTTGCTTATATACAGTATTCGAAATTGTTGGCAAAGATGATGGCTGGATTTATGTTTTAAGGATTTTTCTTGAGTTTGTCTCTGGTTTTGATTGTACAAGTACATTAATTTTAGGCTAGAGGCCGATAAAGGCTATTCGTTCTATGGCGCTTATGATTGCATTTCTTTTTGCTTTGTACTTTTAAAATGTCTTACAATCCAATCTTTTCCTGTTTCTTGTTAATATAAACTTGAAATCTGTATGTGTGTAAAATTTGAAGGGGCACATGAGGGAGGGTGCAACCCCAAGAAAGTGACGCAACCTGCCTAGTGTAGCATACTGACCAACCACCAAAATCTCAATCCCTTGACAAGACATACAGAATCTCTGGATTTTGCTCCCTGGATGGCACAAAAACAAGTGAAAAAGGGCCTTTCCCGCCAAAAAAAGTTCAACTCTGCTAGATCTGCGTACACGGCACAGTTCAACCCTGCATTGCAGTTCGATCAGTCGGCGCCAGCTAGCGCCTAGCGCCTGTCAGTGCAGATCTTGTGGTCAGGTCTTGAAAGTGCCGTGCACAGTTCAAAGTGCGAGTGCGCACTGTACATATTTTTGAAAAACCGCGACATTCAAGTCGAATCCATGGAGTTTTCTGGAAAATCCTGCATCAGATGAAACTGTGACTTTTCCGGGAGTTTGCTTGAAATCCCCGGGAGTAGTGTTGATTTCCCGGGAAAACCGGGAGGGTTGGCCAGTATGGTGTAGCCCCCCCCCCCCCCCCCCCCCCAGCACATGCACGCAGACAGACAGATGATGAACACACACCACCACACACTTCAAAACGGCGAGTCAGTTGGGTGAGAGACATTGAAACATTCTCATAAAAAAATCAAACCACCTTGCTCCAGTGTTTCCACAGTAGCCACAGTGACAGTCTAAGCAACGGGGGTGTTCATAACGACGTGAACAACACAAGGGCATATATATGTACAGCAGCAGCAGAAGAGACAGCAACGGGGTTAGCAGCGTTAATAGCCGTTATGTTCAGCGGTATATAGATAGAGATACACACGTGATCTTTGCACTAATTTGCACTCAATGTTATCAGTACTCGGAGTAGTAGTAGTCAATGTGTGGCAAATAATTGTAAAAGGGAATAAAGAAACGGGCCAGGCAGTTCTGAACTCCTCCATCTGCTCTGGTGTGTAGTATATACATGGGGTGAAAGTTAAGAACCTGGTACAAGTTTACCCCAGGAACGGACCTGGTACAAGTCTACCCCAGGAACGGACCTGGTACAAGTCTACCCCAGGAACGGACCTGGTACAAGTCTACCCCAGGAACGGACCTGGTACAGCCAGAATATTAAAGGAAAAATAGCCAGAATAACAAAAGAAAAATAGACTGGGGAATCAAGGAATAGGAAGGGGTGAGTCCTGGGAATTTCCTTCCCAACAAATGGAGGAAACACTATTATAAATTGTATACAAGAAAGCTAGACCAAGTTGCCAGCCAGACAGTGTTCAGCTCACTGGCAGCAACAACAGCAATAGAGAGAGAAAGAGAGAAAGAAAGAAAGAGAGAGAGAGAGAGAGAGAGAGAGAGAGGGGGGGGGGGGGAGAGGGAGAGAGGGAGAAGGAGAGAAAGTAAGAGAGAGTAAGAGAGGTAAACACTAAACAGGCAGACAGACACCTACTTCGATCTGGACACAGACAATTGGACACAAACAGACAAGACATGGTTAACACACACACACACACACACACACACACACACACACACACACACACACACACACACACACACACACACACACACACACGCCATAGTAGTAACATTGTTCACCACCCTCCTGCTGCTGCTTCTTGGATGAGGATTTCTTTGAAGAGATCTCTCTGATAGAGGTCACGTGCTGTTGGACGATGGCCGGGATCAATGGCCAATAACTCACGTATGATACATCCCTACGGAGCACAAAGTAACAACAACAGACCACGGACAACAACAACAACAACAACAACAACAACAACAACAACAACAACAACAACAACAACAACAACAACAACAACAACAACAACAACAACAACATGACGTGTTGATAAGTTGATACTCCACATGGCATGCTAATACAAGACCAAGAACTGTCCAGCACAAAGAAGCAAGTACTTCTCAGAGCAAAGCCTGATTGAGAATACGTGTAGCAGCAGAAGTCAGAATGGTTGAACTGCACTGTGGCCTGTAGCTATCTGTACATGTACACGTCTGTAGTATAGAATAACGGGTGAGTCTTCACCAGCATTAGTACAGTACAGACCCAGTGCATGTACTGGTCAATCAGATACAGGTAAGCCTATGCATTGCCATGCATTGCCAGCAGCAGCAGCAGCAGCAGCAGCAGCAGCAGCAGCAGCAGCAGCAGCAGCAGCAGCAGCAGCAGCAGCAGCAGCAGCAGCAGCAGCAGCATCAGCATCAGCATTAGTCCTGGAAACCAACCAACCTGGTCTTCATTGAAATCTTGTGGGAATCGGTGTTTACGTGCTTTGAGCAACACCTGCAACACAGTGCAACACAGTACATAGGAAAATAGCATACTGTATGAGCAGAAATATTCGTCTGGAATATAATTTCGTCTTTTTTCGTCCAAGGAGCTTTTGGACTAAATTAAAGGAAGGACTAATGTCGCTTTGTCCAGCTTTTCAATACACTCTGGTGATCCACACACCCAAACACGCAGCACACATGCCGATACATGTACATCTATTCTATGAGTCATGTTGGTTGCTTTTCTATAGATGTAAATACAATGTAGCTGCACTGTGCAGTGGTGCTACATACATTCGCCAGTACACTTCAAACTAGGGGTGTCAACGGGTAGTAGAGCACCCGTGCTACCCGTAATAAAAGCGGGTAATCGGGTACCAGTTTGCTCCTGAGAACCCGATCAGGTACTGGGAGTACGGTGTTTTCGCAACAGTGCATGTAAAAGGCACGGCTATGTGCTTAGTGCTTACTGTACACTTTCCATGTAGTGCAAGTGCACACTCATAGTACAAACTATGTCAAAACAATAACCGGGCTATAGGGTACCCGTGCTACCCGGATAGAAATACCCGAACTCATTACCCGACCAAACCCCTACCCGTTGCAGCCCTACTTCAAACCAGTAGAAACACACACACACACAGGAAACAAGAAATCAATCACTATAGTAGCATTCTTGGTTGTATCAAGAGTAGATAAACAAGAGTGTGCAACTCCGGATCTCTTCTGCACAATCTGCAGATACCCCCGCCCGCAGCGGAAGTTTTTGTTGACGTCACCTTTTTTCAGAAGAACGCGCATTTTGCCCCAGAGCAGTGTGAGAGCACGTGCTGGGCACCGTCTTTTAATGTAAAGCCCGGCCAAGTGCACGAGGCAAAACTTTCAAAAAGACTCGCAGCGCGTGCATCGTCGAAAAGATTACGTCAACAAAAAATTCCGCCGCAGGCCAACCCATTCCGGAGTTGCACACTCTTGATTATCTACTCTTGGTTGTATGCTACAACTATCACTCCTCATGGCACAGTCATACTTACATGCATACGCTCCATTTGTGTCTCAAACGGGCACAGCAGCTCAAAGAAGATGATACCGAGTGAGAAGATATCAACTTTGTGACAATACTTCTGCCCTTTCATCTGCACAACAACAAGCATGCAAACAATACATTGGCGGCGTCACACCCAGACACCCAAACCCACCCACCCACACCCACCCACCGGTGGGGAGAAGCGCAAGCCAGCATCGCTATTGGCTGCCGCATCCCTGGCCCAGGATTATTGCCAAGCCCATGCACCTTGTTCGGGAGCCTCCATTCAAATCTCTCCGCTGTCACAACTGTCATCAGACCGGACATCTCGCTACAGATTGTATTGCATGGTCGGAGCCCTCACAAACAAGATCGCCAGTCGACACCACCGCCAAGGGGCTTTCACCAGCCGCTCCAGTGTTTAAGCCATGGCCACCTGTACCTCCCAAGCAACAGGTTCACTTCAGATGTGCGGAGGCCAGGAATGTGGCATTGAAGCGGCCACTCATGCCATGCACGATACATTCAGCAAAGAAGATGTCGACGCAGTGCTCAACGCAGATACGTCCAACGCGTTCAATCGCCTCAACAGAGAAGCTTGCATGCGTAATGTAGCGCTCCTCTGTCCTAACATCATGCCCACGATTATCAACTGCTACCGACACCCAGCCCGCCTATTTGTGGATGGGGAGTGCCTCCTCCTCTCGCGTGAAGGCACAACACAAGGAGACCCACTAGCCATGCCGATGTATGCTCCGAGGGTCCTCCCCTGGTGCACTGTGTGGCAAAACTAGTGGGAACCTGCCAGAACTGGTACGCTGATGACTCATCAGAAGGTGGCAAGTTCGACCCTCTCCTGCAATGGTGGGATCGACTCAAGGATGGGCTGGTGTTCAGCTATTTCATTTACCCCAGCAAATCCATCCTCGTCGTCAAGCCGGACAAGTTGGAGGCAGCCCAGACCATCTTCACCGGCACGGGTGTGTCTATCACCACTGATGGGTGAGTTGGAGGCAGCCCAGACCATCTTCACCGGCACGGGTGTGTCTGTCACCACTGATGGGTGCCGCAAACTCCGATCAGCTATAGGAACTGATCAGTTCGTGCAGGAGTTTGTGGCCTCCAAGGTGACCGTTCGCGCAGAGGTTTGTGGCTTTCAAGGTGGCCACCTGGTCGCAGAAGCTATGCAAGCTGTCGGACTTCACCCGATCACAGCCTCAAGCAGCATACTCCGCACCGGTGAATAGTCTCCAGCACTGGTGGTCCTTCCGGTGTCGGGTTCCCATGCCGCCCCGGATACTGGCAAAATCGAAAGCCCTCGCATCCCCAGGAGAGCTACAGAAGACTGCAGGTGAACAATCTGGAGTCAAGCAGCTGCACATTCAAGAGAAGCCAAGCACCCCCCCCCCCCTCCCCCCGCCGTAAAGATTGTAGACAGCATGAATGTAGAAGGAGGCTAATGTGTCGTGGAGGCTAAGATAGCCCTTTGAGCCCCAGCCCTCGGTCGCGACTATATATATATTATTTCACATGTCACAATGGAAGCGGTCCTCGCCAAGAAAACATAATCCTGTGTTATTTCACATGTCATATATTTATTTTCCTTCAGTGTTTTTCTATTCCCTCTGATCAGTTTATTCAAATGTTCACGTGATAAAGAGTCGAAAAGAAAGGACCAAAGGTGGACACGATATCCGAGCGCACTCCCCTTTCTCACGTTCTTTCATAGCTTGGAACCTTTCAAGTTGGAAGGCTGTTGGAGTGCGTATTCGAGACGCAATGGAGCTAAACATCAGATCGTTTAATTATTGTGGCCAACTGTTCTACGTTGTGACTCACTGGACATAGTGGATAACATGTAAACCTTTGATCCTTTATTTATTTATTTTAACCCGTGGCTCTTGAGTGTGATAAAGAGTGCTATTAAAAATTTCAAAGAAAAAAAGAGAGAAAGAATAGCCACTGGGTCTCACCAGTTCAGGACTCATGTAGATTTCTGTACCAACTTGTCCCGTGTGTTCACCTTCATCACCTTCATCACCACTACCAAATTCACATGCTGTAGAACATAGTACACATGTACGCACACCCACACACCGCACACCCACACACCGCCCACCCACACACCGCACACCCACACACCACACACCGGACACCCACCCACCCACAAACACCAACACCCACAGGCACAAACACACAGTCATTATAAAAGGAGGTTGAGTACTTTCAGTCAAAATGTCATTGCTAAAGTAATGTCTTCAAACTCATACAATCATGTACAGTGCACACACACACACACACACACACACACACACACACACACACACACACACACACACACACACACACACACACACACACACACACACACACACACACACACACACACACACACACACACACACACACACACACACACACACACACACACACACACACACACACACACACACACACACACACACACACACACACACACACACACACACACACACACACACACACACACACACACACACACACACACACATAAATATGCACACGGACACACATACATGTATGTACTGCGTTGCAGCTTGATGTGTCCACCTACCCAGAGCATGTAAATCATCTCGACTGAGATTGCGGTGATGTCCAGATTCAGTCGCCAAGCCAAAATCACCGACCTTGACTCGTCCATCGTGCGCAAAGAAAACATTGGATGGCTGAAGGTAGTGGAGAGTCAAGAAATACACATACAAACACACTGCTCTGGGACCACTGGCCATACACACACACAAACACTGCTCTGGGAAAACTGGACATCCCAACTAGAGTGCAGGAGGAAGGTTGTACAATGTCATGGACATGCACATTGTACAGTACTGCTCAATGAAATCCAGTCACAACCTTCAAGTACGCCATGCCGCCGGGCGTTGCGCAGCCCTAGATCTGCAAACACTGGGCTGTGAAAAGGTACCAGGTGCAAACTTGAGTGACACCGCGACTGGATTTCATTGAGCAAGACTGTACTTGATAACTGCAGGTGCCAGTGCAGAACACTAGTGACTAGCTAGAAATACTGAAGTAGCTAGAACATGCCTTGAGGGACACCAGCCCACCAGCCGTGGTGAACAGTCTCCAAGGTGCCAGCACTCAGTAGGTGAGCAGATCAATAGTCTGTCATGCCATGCAAGCACATGTACCATCATGGGGTGTAGTAGGTAGGTTGAGTGAAGTTCGGGTAAGGCACGGACAAGGAAATGAGACTGAGTGCATAGAGAGAAAAGAAGCATGTTGCAAACTACAGAACATCAACAAGAGTGAACCGTACAACAGTTGACCAAGCTCAAGCTCATACTGCAATCATCAGGCACCACACGTACTTGTACATAAGCCAGAGTGTGCAACTCCGCATCAGTTTGGGAAAGCGGAACGCGTCAGAATGACATAACCAGTGAATTGTGCTGCTCGGTACCGATATACAGAGTTACACGGAGTTATACACCCTGGTCATCATACACCCTGGTCATCATACACCCTGGTCATCATACACCCTGGTCATCATACACCCTGGTCATCATACACCCTGGTCATCATACACCCTGGTCATCATACACCCTGGTCATCATACACCCTGGTCATCATACACCCTGGTCATCATACACCCTGGTCATCATACACCCTGGTCATCATGTACTCTTGACACAAGGCACCAGGTATAGGAGGAAAAGTACAACACTGAATAGTAGTGAATACTGACCTTCAAGTCACGATGCATCAGCTTGTTGTCATGAACATAGCCAACAGCACGTACAATCTATGCACACCGCCGACGCAGACACACAGACAGACACACAAACACGCACACACAAATACATTTGTATGTTTCTGTGTAACGCACTAGAAAAGCAGAAACAAGAAAAGCAGTAATTTCAGCTCTGATCGCGCTGGTCAACTACATTGCCCTCTACAATGATGTGAGTAAAAGCGCAAGCCAGGCTGTCTCAAATTGCCTTGGAAGTACAGTGTGACGCCATGCTTCACTCATATCGTATACTACGCATGTTGAATATAGGATTCGTCACATTGAACTTGATTGAAGTAACGCAAGCGACAGGATACATGCAAACACCGCCGGGAGTGCGGGTTTGATGCTTTGTAAAGTTTGTATACTTAGCACGCAACCGTCACAACTGGATGATCGCAGAAGTTGGTGAGCTGGGCTCAACTTTCGCTGGCCCAATGAGGTACAGTCAGAAAGACGGCCGCCCGCTTGCCCGCCGCCCTCACCTGCAGGAATATTTTGGTTGCCTGCTGTGGACATCGGCCGGAAACATGTTCGTGCAGCCAGTCTTTCAGATCCATCTCCTTGCACAGCTGCATCTGGATGTACAGGTAGACACGCGGGGAATCACTGTGCTCCGACATGGACGACTTCTTGCCTACACAGCGAGAGCAAGAACGGAACATACATGTATGACAGGAAGAAGAATTATTATTCATTAGCTTGAGAGAGTTGAAAGGGAAAGAGGAGACTGATTGGCAGCAATTATAGTCAACTTCGCTAATAACGACTGCGGATATAATGACAATTCGCGAATAACGACAGAATTTACATGCCCAGAGTCCCATCTAACTGTAACACATATAATGAGACTCCGGGTATAAGGACTCTTTTCTGATGCCCCGCTGAGTGTCGTTATACGCGAAGTTAACTGTAATTAAACTGCACCAAGAAGGAAGAGTAAACACCACTGCGACTATCGTGAACATACAGGAATGGCAGTTACAACACACCAAGCTCCTACCCACCCACTCACCCACCCACACCCATACCCACACAACAAATACCCACTACACGCGTGAACCAGGCGCTGTGAGGTCCGACATCAAAACAAGACAGCCACATGAATGGCACGCGATGCCTTACTCATTACTCACCACTGTCCCCGCCAGAATTCCAGCGGCGTACCACTCGTACTGGTACACAGTGCCTTCACTGTTGCCATATTAGTGGACATAACGGCTGTCCAACTGTATTCTACTGTCTAACTGTGTTCTACTGTCTAACTGTGTTCTACTGTCTAACTGTGTTCTACTGTCTAACTGTGTTCTACTGTCTAACTGTGTTCTACTGTCTAACTGTGTTCTACTGTCTAACTGTATTCTACTGTCTAACTGTGTTCTACTGTCTAACTGTGTTCTACTGTCTAACTGTGTTCAACTGTCTAACTGTGTTCAACTGTCTAACTGTGTTCTACTGTCTAACTGTGTTCTACTGTCTAACTGTATTCTACTGTCTAACTGTATTCTACTGTCTAACTGTATTCTACTGTCTAACTGTATTCTACTGTCTAACTGTATTCTACTGTCTAACTGTATTCTACTGTCTAACTGTGTTCTACTGTCTAACTGTGTTCTACTGTCTAACTGTATTCTACTGTCTAACTGTATTCTACTGTCTAACTGTATTCTACTGTCTAATTGTGTTCTACTGTCTAATTGTGTTCTACTGTCTAACTGTGTTCTACTGTCTAACTGTGTTCTACTGTCTAACTGTGTTCTACTGTCTAACTGTGTTCTACTGTCTAACTGTGTTCAACTGTCTAACTGTGTTCTACTGTCTAACTGTGTTCTACTGTCTAACTGTGTTCAACTGTCTAACTGTGTTCTACTGTCTAACTGTGTTCTACTGTCTAACTGTATTCTACTGTCTAACTGTATTCAACTGTAACTGTGTTCTACTGTCTAACTGTGTTCTACTGTCTAACTGTGTTCTACTGTCTAACTGTGTTCTACTGTCTAACTGTGTTCAACTGTCTAACTGTGTTCTACTGTCTAACTGTGTTCTACTGTCTAACTGTATTCTACTGTCTAACTGTATTCTACTGTCTAACTGTATTCAACTGTAACTGTGTTCTACTGTCTGACTGTGTTCAACTGTCTAACTGTGTTCTACTGTCTAACTGTGTTCTACTGTCTAACTGTGTTCTACTGTCTAACTGTATTCTACTGTCTAACTGTATTCAACTGTAACTGTGTTCTACTGTCTAACTGTGTTCTACTGTCTAACTGTGTTCTACTGTCTAACTGTGTTCTACTGTCTAACTGTATTCAACTGTAACTGTGTTCTACTGTCTAACTGTATTCTACTGTCTAACTGTATTCTACTGTCTAACTGTATTCAACTGTAACTGTGTTCTACTGTCTAACTGTATTCTACTGTCTAACTGTGTTCCACTGTCTAGCTGTGTTCTACTGTCTAACTGTGTTCTACTGTCTAACTGTGTTCTACTGTCTAACTGTATTCAACTGTAACTGTGTTCTACTGTCTAACTGTATTCTACTGTCTAACTGTATTCAACTGTAACTGTGTTCTACTGTCTAACTGTATTCTACTGTCTAACTGTGTTCCACTGTCTAACTGTGTTCCACTGTCTAACTGTATTCTACTGTCTAACTGTGTTCTACTGTCTAACTGTGTTCTACTGTCTAACTGTGTTCTAATGTCTAACTGTGTTCTACTGTCTAACTGTGTTCTACTGTCTAACTGTGTTCTACTGTCTAACTGTGTTCTACTGTCTAACTGTGTTCTACTGTCTAACTGTATTCTACTGTCTAACTGTATTCTACTGTCTAACTGTATTCTACTGTCTAACTGTATTCTACTGTCTAACTGTATTCTACTGTCTAACTGTATTCTACTGTCTAACTGTATTCAACTGTCTAACTGTGTTCTACTGTCTAACTGTGTTCTACTGTCTAACTGTGTTCTACTGTCTAACTGTATTCTACTGTCTAACTGTATTCTACTGTCTAACTGTGTTCTACTGTCTAACTGTATTCTACTGTCTAACTGTATTCTACTGTCTAACTGTATTCTACTGTCTAACTGTGTTCTACTGTCTAACTGTGTTCTACTGTCTAACTGTATTCTACTGTCTAACTGTATTCTACTGTCTAACTGTATTCTACTGTCTAATTGTGTTCTACTGTCTAACTGTGTTCAACTGTCTAACTGTGTTCTACTGTCTAACTGTGTTCTACTGTCTAACTGTGTTCTACTGTCTAACTGTGTTCTACTGTCTAACTGTGTTCAACTGTCTAACTGTGTTCAACTGTCTAACTGTGTTCTACTGTCTAACTGTGTTCTACTGTCTAACTGTGTTCAACTGTCTAACTGTGTTCTACTGTCTAACTGTGTTCTACTGTCTAACTGTATTCTACTGTCTAACTGTATTCAACTGTAACTGTGTTCTACTGTCTAACTGTGTTCTACTGTCTAACTGTGTTCTACTGTCTAACTGTGTTCTACTGTCTAACTGTGTTCAACTGTCTAACTGTGTTCTACTGTCTAACTGTGTTCTACTGTCTAACTGTATTCTACTGTCTAACTGTATTCAACTGTAACTGTGTTCTACTGTCTAACTGTGTTCAACTGTCTAACTGTGTTCTACTGTCTAACTGTGTTCTACTGTCTAACTGTATTCTACTGTCTAACTGTATTCAACTGTAACTGTGTTCTACTGTCTAACTGTGTTCTACTGTCTAACTGTGTTCTACTGTCTAACTGTGTTCTACTGTCTAACTGTATTCAACTGTAACTGTGTTCTACTGTCTAACTGTATTCTACTGTCTAACTGTATTCTACTGTCTAACTGTATTCAACTGTAACTGTGTTCTACTGTCTAACTGTATTCTACTGTCTAACTGTGTTCCACTGTCTAACTGTGTTCTACTGTCTAACTGTGTTCTACTGTCTAACTGTGTTCTACTGTCTAACTGTATTCAACTGTAACTGTGTTCTACTGTCTAACTGTATTCTACTGTCTAACTGTATTCTACTGTCTAACTGTATTCAACTGTAACTGTGTTCTACTGTCTAACTGTATTCTACTGTCTAACTGTGTTCCACTGTCTAACTGTGTTCTACTGTCTAACTGTGTTCTACTGTCTAACTGTGTTCTACTGTCTAACTGTATTCAACTGTAACTGTGTTCTACTGTCTAACTGTATTCTACTGTCTAACTGTATTCTACTGTCTAACTGTATTCAACTGTAACTGTGTTCTACTGTCTAACTGTATTCTACTGTCTAACTGTGTTCCACTGTCTAACTGTGTTCCACTGTCTAACTGTATTCTACTGTCTAACTGTGTTCTACTGTCTAACTGTGTTGTACTGTCTAACTGTGTTGTACTGTCTAACTGTGTTGTACTGTCTAACTGTGTTCTACTGTCTAACTGTGTTCTACTGTCTAACTGTGTTCTACTGTCTAACTGTGTTCTACTGTCTAACTGTATTCTACTGTCTAACTGTATTCTACTGTCTAACTGTATTCTACTGTCTAACTGTATTCTACTGTCTAACTGTATTCAACTGTAACTGTGTTCTACTGTCTAACTGTGTTCTACTGTCTAACTGTGTTCTACTGTCTAACTGTATTCTACTGTCTAACTGTATTCTACTGTCTAACTGTATTCTACTGTCTAACTGTATTCTACTGTCTAACTGTATTCTACTGTCTAACTGTATTCTACTGTCTAACTGTATTCTACTGTCTAACTGTATTCTACTGTCTAACTGTATTCTACTGTCTAACTGTATTCAACTGTAACTGTGTTCTACTGTCTAACTGTGTTCTACTGTCTAACTGTGTTCTACTGTCTAACTGTATTCTACTGTCTAACTGTATTCTACTCTCTAACTGTGTTCTACTGTCTAACTGTATTCTACTGTCTAACTGTGTTCTACTGTCTAACTGTGTTCTACTGTCTAACTGTGTTCTACTGTCTAACTGTATTCAACTGTAACTGTGTTCTACTGTCTAACTGTGTTCTACTGTCTAACTGTGTTCTACTGTCTAACTGTATTCTACTGTCTAACTGTATTCTACTGTCTAACTGTATTCTACTGTCTAACTGTATTCTACTGTCTAACTGTATTCTACTGTCTAACTGTATTCTACTGTCTAACTGTATTCTACTGTCTAACTGTATTCAACTGTAACTGTATTCTACTGTCTAACTGTATTCTACTGTCTAACTGTGTTCTACTGTCTAACTGTATTCTACTGTCTAACTGTGTTCCACTGTCTAACTGTGTTCCACTGTCTAACTGTATTCTACTGTCTAACTGTGTTCTACTGTCTAACTGTGTTCTACTGTCTAACTGTGTTCTACTGTCTAACTGTATTCTACTGTCTAACTGTATTCAACTGTAACTGTGTTCTACTGTCTAACTGTGTTCTACTGTCTAACTGTGTTCTACTGTCTAACTGTATTCTACTGTCTAACTGTATTCTACTGTCTAACTGTGTTCTACTGTCTAACTGTGTTCTACTGTCTAACTGTGTTCTACTGTCTAACTGTGTTCTACTGTCTAACTGTATTCTACTGTCTAACTGTGTTCTACTGTCTAACTGTGTTCTACTGTCTAACTGTATTCTACTGTCTAACTGTATTCTACTGTCTAACTGTATTCTACTGTCTAACTGTATTCTACTGTCTAACTGTATTCTACTGTCTAACTGTATTCTACTGTCTAACTGTATTCTACTGTCTAACTGTATTCTACTGTCTAACTGTATTCTACTGTCTAACTGTATTCTACTGTCTAACTGTATTCTACTGTCTAACTGTATTCAACTGTAACTGTGTTCTACTGTCTAACTGTGTTCTACTGTCTAACTGTGTTCTACTGTCTAACTGTATTCTACTGTCTAACTGTATTCTACTGTCTAACTGTGTTCTACTGTCTAACTGTATTCTACTGTCTAACTGTGTTCTACTGTCTAACTGTGTTCTACTGTCTAACTGTATTCTACTGTCTAACTGTATTCAACTGTAACTGTGTTCTACTGTCTAACTGTGTTCTACTGTCTAACTGTGTTCTACTGTCTAACTGTATTCTACTGTCTAACTGTATTCTACTGTCTAACTGTATTCTACTGTCTAACTGTATTCTACTGTCTAACTGTATTCTACTGTCTAACTGTATTCTACTGTCTAACTGTATTCAACTGTAACTGTATTCTACTGTCTAACTGTATTCTACTGTCTAACTGTGTTCTACTGTCTAACTGTATTCTACTGTCTAACTGTGTTCCACTGTCTAACTGTGTTCCACTGTCTAACTGTATTCTACTGTCTAACTGTGTTCTACTGTCTAACTGTGTTCTACTGTCTAACTGTGTTCTACTGTCTAACTGTATTCTACTGTCTAACTGTATTCAACTGTAACTGTGTTCTACTGTCTAACTGTGTTCTACTGTCTAACTGTGTTCTACTGTCTAACTGTATTCTACTGTCTAACTGTATTCTACTGTCTAACTGTGTTCTACTGTCTAACTGTGTTCTACTGTCTAACTGTGTTCTACTGTCTAACTGTGTTCTACTGTCTAACTGTATTCTACTGTCTAACTGTGTTCTACTGTCTAACTGTGTTCTACTGTCTAAACCTATACATGTACATCCTTATACCCACATAGAACAAGAAAAGACACTCACTCGTTGCAATGAGAAACAACACGCCACTCAGGAGTCAGGAGAACAGTTACTTACGGCGTCGACGTCTGGACCGTGATCTATTGGCGGCAGCAGTAGCAGCAGCAGCAGCTGTAGCAACCCGGTCAGAAGTATGGCGGTCGGAATGGGATGGCTGGCCGAATGCAGGGTTGCTCCCAAACGGTAATGCCCTGATATTCTCAGTTGAGGGCCGTGGAGAAACGGAGAATTTAATCCCGTGCGACGAGTCACAGCTGTAAGTAGAGAAAGCTGCGGCGGATGCACTTGACTGGCTATCGTCAGAAGTCATACCATTGCCCACGCCGGAGGAGCTGCTATCACAGCCACGCTGAAACATGAAGCCACCGCCAGAGGTTGAGTCTAGAATGCCGGCGTGGCCACCAACCAACGGTGTGTCCATGTCACTACCCAGAATGGAGGAGTTATGACGCAAAGTCATCTGAAGGGTTCTACTAGGCGCTGCATTCGCCGACTGAGAAGGATATAGAGGGTAGTGGTCCTCGTCAGATTCGTCGTCTTCGCCATCGAGCACAGTTCCAGATGCCGTCGATGTATCAGTACAGCTAGTCGATGAGTCATCACCATCAGTACCGCGGGCAATGATGCCGTCTGTGTAAGATGACGAGTTGGTCAACAGAGGTGATGCGGCCAAACGAGAGTTGTCTGTGCTGTTCTGTGCGGACAGGTCACCAAACACTATGCCACCGGAGCTCTCATTGTCAGATGAGTAGCTGGGAATGGGACGTCGGCCGGGGAAATGACGCATGGGATTGGACATGCTGCTACTGTCAGCAGGAGTGCTCCGCGTTGCTAGATCACTGACGGCATCGCCTAACTCATCATTACTGTGCATATAGCATGTGCATGTGTGTGCATGTGTGTGCATGTGTCCGTATGTCCATGCACATGGATCACAGTCAAGGGAAAGAGACAAAACACACACACACACACACACACACACACACACACACGAGTACATATGCACATACACAGGAAAAGAACACACAGATTAGGGAATGACACGGAACTATCGAGAGCAGCACACACTAGTGTAAATACACACCTTAAAGGGGAAGTCCGGTGAAAAATATAAATTTCAGGGTCGGTAGAGTTTCGGGCGCTGAGTCGAATGGTGTTGGTCCCATGTGTCTCCGACAAAGCGTTCTCGAGATATTTCCGTTTGAAAAACCGAGTTTCGGGGGCTGCGCCATGACGTCATGCGGCCGCGCCACACCCTCCGCAACGTCATAGCGTGCAGCTAGGTCAAAAGGAGTGAGTGAAAGCAATAGTGTCAGTTCTATTTCAAATGATTTGGCGACTGATATTAGGTGGTGCAAGCGACACCGAAGACCTAACTCCTTGTGAGAGTGAGGATGCAGCCATGGCTGACCTTCATGAGTTTGGTCTGGGGCTGAGAACCTCGGTATTCAGCTGAAGAAATGGCCGCGCGGGCCGGTCAAGAGTGAGCGCTACTGAGTTTCCGACTGATGAAGAAGCAGCAGCTATTGCAGACGAGGCTGATATAATTATCAGATCGCTGGAGAGCAGGGTCGCCAAAATGGAGAAGAGTGATGCGAGAGCTCTGAATGTTGTTGCATACCGATTCGCTTAGACTCCAGTAGCCTGCCACATGGTGATGTTTTGGTGCAAACTTGGCATATTTCGGACTACTCAATTGGAGAACAGTGCAGGCTCTTTGAACCACAGGCACGACTCTTCGCTCGCAACGCTATGGAATCTGAAAGTTCTAAATCCGGGAACTGTTCGCTGTTTTGTCACTTGTCACGGTTGTGCACTCATCGCTGTAGCATAAAATAATGAGGCCGGACTGGAGCGGAAAACTAAAATTTTCTTTCTCAAAGCACAGCCACCGGCACCGGCAAGGAGAAACGCACGTTCTCTGACTGCATGACTGTACAATACGACTGATACGAGTGTATTACATGACAAGTCGTGTGTTGACTAGTTTTCTGAGTCTTGTGTCTCGAGTCTTGTTGTAGCTAGCCCAGCACGGCAGTGCGGGAGTAGTTCCGTGTGTGATGAGTTTGTTGACTGCACTACAGCTAGCATGCACGCAGCGCATTGCTAGAGCCGTAGTCGTAGAGGCCATTGCATGTTGACGGAAAAAGTCCAACTCGGAAACGGCTAAAATACGGTATAACCTCGAGGTTTACCGAGCTGAAAATCACAGGGTACGTAGTGTTTGTAACACTGAATCGAATGGTCTTGGTCCGAAGAAGCTGCGACAAACGGTTCCCCAATCGAACGCGCTCCGAATATGGCCATTTTGTACACGACTAGATGGTGTGGCTACCTGGCTGCACGCTGTGACGTCATCACCTGGATCTGGGTGATGCGCGCTCAAATTCGCACATGTTCGATTGGGCGTATCTGACGAACTATAGGCCGCAGCCTCCTCGGACGAAGACCATTCGACTCAGTGACCCGAACTCTACGGACTGTGAAATTTAAATTTTTCACCGGACTTCCCCTTTAAGACGGCAGTAGAACCATCAACATGGGTCTGCAAGGACTGGAAATACACATCCATGCATCCATGCATGCATGCAGCCATACCATGCTGGACACAACACAACCATTTGCCACAATATCATGTCAATATACCTCTGGCCTTGACTGCTTCCAAGAACAAAATACATTGTGACTTCATGAGGATTCATCTCACCATTCATCGTCATACTCGTCTTCATCATCCTCATCCTCATCTCCATCCAGACCATCCCCACTTTCAACACCGATGTCGTCGTCGTCAAATATGTGGCCCACCGGTGGTCTCTCTACCCAAGAGTTGAAGTAACGCACAATGTTCTGATGCTCCAATGTAGCTAAGGCATTCACTTCACGCATCACCTTCGAATGCATTCTACACAGGGCAATGACAAAAAAAAGGATTTCGCATAGCACGGACATATTTAGCACACTATCACACAAATCACAAACTATGTACAACTGATTTGCATTGAGCAGAGAGAGAGTGAGGGAAGAGAGAGAGAGAGAGAGAGAGAGAGAGAGAGAGAGAGAGAGAGAGAGAGAGAGTGAGGAAGAGAGAGAAAGAGAGAGAGAGAGAGAGAGAGAGAGAGAGAGAGAGAGAGAGAGAGAGAGAGAGAGAGAGAGAGAGAGAGAGAGAGAGAGAGAGGAAGAGGGGGGGGGGGGAGAGAGAGAGAGAGAGAGAGAGAGAGAGAGAGAGAGAGAGAGAGAGAGAGAGAGAGAGAGAGAGAGAGAGAGAGAGAGAGAGAGAGAGAGAGAGAGAGGAAGAGGGGGGGGAGAGAGAGAGAGAGATTTGCATTGAGCAGAGAGAGAGTGAGGGAGGAAGAGAGAGAGAGAGAGAGAGAGAGAGAGAGAGAGAGAGAGAGAGAGAGAGAGAAGGGAGAAAGAGAGAGAGAGGAAGAGAGGGAGAAAGGGAGAGAGAGAGAGAGAGAGAAGAGAGAGAGAGAGAGAGGAAGAGGGGGGGGGGGGGAGAGAGAGAGAGACACACACACACACAGGAGAGAGAGAGAGAGAGAGAGAGAGAGAGAGAGAGAGAGAGAGAGAGAGAGAGAGAGAGAGAGAGAGACAGAGAGAGAGAGAGAGACAGAGAGAGAGAGAGAGAGAGAGAGAGAGAGAGAGAGAGAGAGAGAGAGAGAGAGAGAGAGAGAGAGAGAGAGAGAGAGAGAGAGAGAGAGAGAGAGACTCACCCCTCTCGCAGCAACACACGCTTGATAGCATACTGCTGGCTGTCAAAATTATTGCGAGCTTGAAAGACCACGCCAAAGCCACCTTTGCCAAGAGTCTTGACTTTCTCAAAATCACTTTGAAACCTTCACTCAAGCAACAACAACAAAAAGAACACAAAGGAGCGCGAGCATCAGTGTGTTGAGCCAGGACATAGATAATATTAGTATGGCAGAACCTCTCTTATCCAGCCATGAGATACGATATAACTGCACTGCGCAGCACTGCAGTGGCACCAACTGGAACTGGTATATCTGTGCCGAATAGAATACTAATAGAGCCATGCCCCAAGACACTGCACAGTGTTCTCAGTGCTTCCGTCATGCATCGCCGGGCACTATTTTACTAAGTGCGGCGAAATTCACTAGCCTGCGATGTACTTCAAAGAACATGTATCCAATCCGAGGACGTGCCATAAGCACCGGGATGAACAACAAATGAATAAAAAAAAGAAAAAAAGATGTCGGAGTACCCGCTAGAACCTGGTCATGACTAATACACAACCAGGCATTATAAAGCAAGCAGTCCAGAAGTTCTTATGTTGCTCTCCATGCAACCAATACCATGATACAGCACAGCACTGGGTATTCAGAAGAGCTGAGTGCCAAGCACAAACAAAGAAAAAACACTTTTCTATCAACCCCACCGGGAACAGATGCAGGTACCTCTGGTTTACCAGTCCCTGGGCCTAACAACACTTTCCATCAGGTCATGTCAATAAAACTGCTCACAAAGCTGATTCTACAAGAGCACATCGTACACATACCGGGATTGGAAGGTCTCAGGTGGACGGTCAGTTGCCGGTGAAGTGTCCTACGGTTGAAGGTAACAAACATAGGAAGCATGGTATAGTGTTGTTAGACAGGTGCAGCACCATGGCACAAGGGAGCACAACCATGAAGGCACTCTGTTATGAACAGTAGAACAATGGTAATAGATCGGTTCCGCATAACGTAACTACGTTAGTAAAAAACGTAGTCGATCTACGAAAAGTCTTACGGAAACTGCATGCGCATCTGGGTTCCGCCATACGGAGTTTTCAAATCACGTAGCTGCCCTTGGCAAACTCCGAACGCGGCAGTGTACGACCAGATTGACCTGGGCAGAGAGTCCTAAATTTGTACCCCAATCCACTTACGGACCAGCTACGTTATCACAGCCCTATCTACGTACTCTCCGTAGACAATTTCCGTAAGTGGAGTGCAAACTCGCGAATTAACGGGTTTCCCCCGCCCACTAACGTAAAGTTGCTCAACTTTACGTAGTGCGGAACCTCTCTACTAATCACAACATTTCAAGCTTTCCCCAGAACATGTAAATGCAACTTTGGTACAGTACATGATGTGTGGTACATTGAACAGGTGAAGAAAGGGTCCACCAAACATTGTTGCTATTCAGAGTTTCTTGTAACTGAGTAGCTGTGTTCACACCACACCCACCCACCCACCCACCCACACCCACACACATGCACGCACCCACACACAGACATTCAGACACATCAGCACATAGTACTATTACCGAAACGATATCTTCTTTGGCCGGCGATGAATCACTGTCCTTGGTGCTCGTACTGGCATGAAGCTCAGGGATCTCCAGAGTGATTACCTCATCTTTAGTCTGTGCAAAACAGTGTGAGAAGAGCACCAGAGAAATTACTTGACACGGATACCACACGCCTTGGAGACATGACTCTCCCTCTCCTTGATGCACCGATATACATGAGGTGTGTTGGACACAATCATGCACCGATATACATGAGAGGTATGTTGGATACCATCATACACACACCTACATCTGTAGGCGTCTAACACATTACATACAGCAGTTATCTGGACTGTTCACGGTACAAGTGTGCAGTGATACTCCACTGAGATGCATCGTATCCGCACGAGTATGCTCAATAATATCAGCACACAATGCAACTTTTTTCGTTTTCTTATCCGTTTTTTTTGCACTCGTACATCATGCATGAATCATAAATCCTCGTCTGAATCCTCTGTCTGACATTTCATTGAGTCTTGCTCGAAGTCCCCACCAAACTGCATTTAGTGGACAGTGTCAGTTCATATCTCTCTGTCAACGACCAAAGGAAGTTCATTGGTTTGTACAGCACACTGGTCATTGCTAGACTCAAAACCCAGATCAGTTGGAAGCAGTACAGTGGATGAACACAAAAAGGCATAAGGACATAGGAAGCCCGGCTCAAAGGACCAACTGTTCCCAGCAAGCACCTGGCTGCATGACCGAGTGTGTTTTAGGCTGCAAGTGCTGGATATGAAGACGACACACTGCCTCTAGCACTGTGCCGGGTAGGCACCACTGGTCAACCTGACAGAGGGGTGGTATACTGAACGCACAGCAACAGCAGCAGCAAGACAAGTGTAGTTGCTCACCTTTCTCTTCAAATAGAAGCGATACCCAAAGCCACCAGAGAGCAAGGAGACCAACACCAACAGCATGTTAGACAACCTGCAGGGGATCACCGCCATACACAGCCAGCACCAAGGTCACCAAAGAACAGCAACACCAACAGCATACAGCATGTTAGACAACCTAAAGGAATAGGGAACAAACAATTACTTTAACTAACAAACAAGTATTTGTGCTAACGATCGAGCTATGGAGTACTCTTTCAACTGTACCTATAAGTACAAATACGTATGAACAAGAGTACATTTATATACAAGGGACATTAGAAACAAATAACTTGGAAATAAGTGCAGGACCAAAAATAAACCCAGGTATACATACATACATGTACCACTAACGATCTCTTGTCGAACACAATCACTAACGCTCGCCCTAGCTCACGAACGAGTAATGGAGTACTTGACACGATCCTGTGTTCCCTATTCAGGAGTCACCACCATAGCCAGAATCAAAGTCACCACCACACCACCACGGCCACCACCAGAGCCAGCACAAACAACAGCGACCACAAGAAGAACAACAAGTACAAGTAACAACATTACATCATCACATTACATCATCACTCATAAACTGCATGTGTACACGTACATAGTGGGAGAACACACAAAACCCCAGTGGAACATGTCGCCACAACTCACAATTCAATTCTACAATGTACTTACTACAACTGACAACACAGAGTAGACACAAAACCAGCAAGGTCAATCCAGCTCCACTGTCCAAACTGCTCCCTAGAAGGTAGAAGTACAAGTATCATTTCTAGAAATCCCATCGAGCAATTGCAGTGGAAGAAATGAGAGCAACTGACTGGGCACCAACATTTAGCCACAAGAATGTGTAGAATCTAGCTTTGAAGCATTACAAATGACACTAGAGGTGTGATGACTAACACTGGTACCGGTCCGGGGTTGCGGGAGAGCGACAACACAGACACAGATACAACACACCACAATTAACCCCCTGTAAGCGTGGCACTATACTCACACATACCACAACTAACTCCCTCTAACTACTAGTGTAAGGGTATCACCATACTCACACTTAACTTACACGTACCTGCACATGATTACACTACAATATAATAGCTAGCGAAACAACTGGCACGTGAAGAACTATGGCGGAGTCGTGTGAAACTACAGCCTTCCCGTCTTCTCAAGACGAATAAGATCATGTACTTGACAGTACAAGTATAACTATGAGTACATGTACAAAATACCCCCCCCCAAAACACACACTCCCAACACGCCACGCACACATGAAATGGAATACTACTCACAATCCAGGCGACCATGAAGTGTCCACAATGAATGGGTACGGTGCCTGTGGTGGTGGTGTCGGCTTTCGCTGCACCGACGTGGGGAAGCACAGCTTGTCACCGGTGGCAGTTTCACATACCTGCATCGGGATGGTGTTGTAGAAGTATGATCCATGCCCTGAATGCACACATGCACACGCACCCACCCACACGCGCACACACACACAGAGCAAGATTCATAATAAGTAATTGGATTCACCACATGCAGTGTCAAGAGTAGAACCAGCATACGTTTCTTGTAAACACACCGAGACGGCAATACGCCAAGACGGCAAGAGGAAGGCTGCAATGCATATAGGGATGCTATGTCAAGAGGGAAGCTCGTGTAATCCGTCCTAACAAAGGACATGGCCTGGTACACTGTAATCTAGTAGTGCACATCGCGCCAGGCTGGCACTCTTCATGACCGTATGTCCTTGTGTGTATGCCCTTCTGTGCTACTGGAGTGTGTGTGTGTGTATGCCCTTCTGTGTTACTGGAGTGTGTGTGTGTATGCCCTTCTGTGTTACTGGAGAGTGTGTGTGTATGCCCTTCTGTGTTACTGGAGAGTGTGTGTGTATGCCCTTCTGTGTTACTGGAGGACTTACGAATAGGCTCACGGATCGTAAGCTCAGTGGACAGCTTGTCGGAGCCGGAGGAAGGAGGCATGCCGTTGTTTGCTGTGGCAGCAATGGCCGGGTGATCAGTGCGGTGGTCAGGGGACAGTAGGAACTGTGGTACACCGTCCTCACTCGGAGCAGCACTACCGTGTGTTATCTGCAGTGACGTGGAGCCTGCTGCCGCCGCTGCTAGAAGATTGCTGCTCTTGCCTGAACTGGCTAGCTGCTCCAGCAGTAGCTTGCGTGCATAGTTGTCTGGGCCCATGGCAGCCGTTGCTTGCCGCACCCACGCATGCATAGCTCCAGACATTGAGGCCGATGTCTGAATGTACATCTGGTTACGATGAGTGCCTACAACGACGACGACGACGACCACACCCAACAACAACAACAGCAGCAACGACAATGACAATGACAAAAAGAACAAGAACAACAAGAACAACAACAAAGGTAATGCTGATTGCATTGTGAACCACACACTACATCCAGTGGATCATACACTGATTATAACCAACAACAGTGTACTTGTACAAAGCTGTTTCTACCACAGCCGCATCAAACAAAGTCAACCAATCGCTTTCGGGCGTGTATTTGAATTTTTTTTTTCCACATTTCCGCTCCCGATCCGGATCGGACATCAAAAAACAAACCTCTTTCTGACAAACTCTGTTCAGCAGTGTGTTGAATATGCAGTGTGTTGAATATGCAGTGTGCTGAATATGCAGTGTGTTGAATATGCAGTGTGTTGAATATGCAGTGTGTTGAATATGCAGTGTGTTGTTGATGATTGGGACTGTACATACTACTAGTACACTGACATAGTGTCACACACTGCTGGTACTAGAGAACATGCAAAATGCGCATGCATTCGTGTTGGCACTTGACGGCTTCTTGGTTGGGAAAAGGAAATTCAAAAGAAACAAGGAGGGGGGGGGGAGAGAGAGAGAGAGAGAGAGAGAGAGAGAGAGAGAGAGAGAGAGAGAGAGAGAGAGAGAGAGAGAGAGAGAGAGAGAGAGAGATAGAGAGAGAGATAGAGAGAGATAGAGAGACAGGCAGAGATACTGTACAGTGTACATGTATGATCACTTGCTACACAAGGTACCGGTACACTTACCTAAATACAGTGAAGGGCTAGGTGTCGCTCCCGTCGGATGAACAGTAGCAACTGATGCCGACGCCTGAAACAGATCCCAGGGTAGCAGGCAAGTGCCTTTCAGAGTCCAGACGTTTGCCACCGGACTGATGAACTGGAGACAAAAAACACATACAGACACACAGCGTACATCCACCAACACAGCCCAGACATGCACATACACGTGCACAGACAAGCACACAGATGCACATACATGGATACATACACACATACACACACAAACACAGACAAGCACACACATAAACATGAACACGCGTAGAGTGAACACACACAATACACAAGTGACTAGTCTCCAGTAACAACATACAAGTACGGCTGTACACACTTACATGCACTACAGTGGAGATTGGATATAACGACACTCCTTCGGGAGAAAGCAAAATGTCGCTATATTTGATCTGTCACTAAACCCGATCTTCACATTCAGTATATCAAAATGACAGAAATGTATTGTACATGTACATGTAGATATACATGTACATGACGTGGATAACAAACACTTAAAGGGGAAGTGCATCGATTTTTCGAGTAGGGTCCAGAAGAAAGCCAATTTGATATCGGTTCGAATGGCATATCTCTAGAGGTGTACATGTGTCTTGCATGCATTCTTCAAGGTAAAGTCATTCCGCACCGCTGCACTGCGGCTACAACGTGCAATGTAAAGCAGTGACCCGGAGGTCCGGGCACGTGGCACAGTCATTATACCATGTTCCAGACATGCCAGTCTGCCTGATACAAGAGGAAAGTCGTTATATCTGATGTATTTTCACTGTTTTTCAGGTCTTCGGGCACCAAAAAGGTGTCTGTAAATCCGATCTGTCGTTATTTTCGAGGTCGTTATATCCGATCTATAATGTACAGAAAGGACTTGCTAAACGACTTTGGCAACAGAATTGTGTCGCTAAACTCGATTTGTCGTTATACCCAAGGTCGTTATATCCAATCTCCACTGTATAATCTTATGCAAAATTACAGTTGTTTGTCAAGAGTACCTGATTGCAAAAAGAATTAGAGCAGCTTTACAGTTTATCTCCCACAGACCAGGAGGCATGCACACACACACACACACACACACACACACACACACACACACACACACACACACACACACACACACACACACACACATCAACACCAGGACCAGCGCCGTCATTACACCACAGACACCCAGACACACAGCATACCTGATGTCGCCATAACAAGTCATTGGTTGACTGACTGTACGCGGTTACAATACCATCGGAGACACGTAGATTCCAGTCGTGCACAGCATCGCTGCCGTCACAAAAACCCCAGTCCTCGTTCGGCTCATCACCTTCTTCAAGTGACAGGTCAACCTCACCAATCGATACATTCCACCTGCAGTGTGTCACAACACAACACATAAAGTAGCACCTCAATCGTCAATAAACCGATGCCAAGTCCAAGAAAATGAACCAAAATATCAAAAAAGGTTCACTGTTGTTTCGTAAAGACAGCAGGCCATCTCGTGTTTGTTGTTGGGCAAAATAATATATTTTTATTTTATTTTATTCCAAGCAATACATGGCAGGGGTAGCCAATGACCACTTTGCGTGGCGATTGCAGGGTTTTTATAGCCAACCACGGCTAAATAATGATTGAGCCGCGGTGAAAATACACTTCCGAACAAACACGCCAACAGAACTGGGCTCTTGACAGTGAGTTGGGAGTCGGACCTGTTACAGCTTTGGTAAGGATGAATGCTCCCCTGGCCAATAGATGAACACAGACTAGTAGAATAGAGAAAACTGAAACGGACAAACAAAAAGACAGTAGCATATGAAGAGTCGAGAGGACCAGTAGATACATGATAACATAGATACATGATAACATAGATACATGATAACATAGATGCATGATAACATAGATACATGATAACATAGATACATGATAAGTTGATAACATAGAATGACGGCGCCCTTTATCTTATTCATTACCATTTTAAAATATAGTAGTACATGTATACACATACCGTTCAAACCCTCGGCGCTTGTTGTAGGCACGGATAGTCCTCTGCATGCGCTGAATGACGAGAACATCCGATCGTGCAATGGGATAGTCCGGTGATTCGTCTGCACTCTGCAGTTGACAGCCTTGTGCAGAACATACATAGTGCAGCTGCAGGAGATCAAAACGAGGAAAAACGCATGCACGCACCGACACATGCACACGCAGACGCATATGCAGACGCACAGAGGTAAGTATGAAAATTACACAAGCAAATCTCCACACAGTTCAAACTCAAACTTGGACATGCCTCTCAACCAGCTCACGATTGGCAGGCATTGAATAATCGTATGATAATAACTTCTCTCAAGGTTCAGAGACTCCACTGTAGCCAATACTTGAATCCAAACATCCTGTACACACTCTCTCTAGCGGTCTCTAGGCCACACTGCGATTGATATACATTAGCTCAAATTTTCGGGCCCGAAAATTTGAGCTAATGTATATCAATTGCAGTGTAGCCTAGAGACCGTTAGAAAGAGTGTGTACAAGGTGTGTGTACAAGGTGTGTGTACAGGATGTATGGCTTCAAGTATGATAATAACTACACAAATAAAACTGATTCACCTGCAGTTGCAATGATTGGTATTTTTACACAAATAAAACACTTAGTCTGATTGACTAGAGCATCAGTGAGTGGCAGCGTAGTTTACCTCTCCGGTGTCCGGGTCTATGCCATATGACAGCTTGTCCTTGGCACCGACCAACGAACTGCCATCGTAATTGATGTCAGCCTGACCGAAAAGAGAGTCGATATCTGCTGGCACGGCCTGCAAGCATGACAAAGGTGTGTACAGAGAGATGCATGGCACGACCACGTGAAAAAAAAAGGTGACTCACTAATCACCTGGCATGATAATCATTATTGTAAAATGTTAGGAGGAAATGTAAATTTCAATTTAATTTGAATGGCAGTGAAGAGACCGTTTTTGGAGTTTGGAGTTGAGAAGTGAAGTTTTCTAAATGTGCAAGTGGCTGCGTTGGAGTTTGCGGACAACTAGAAAAATGTTAGGCGGAGCTGCTAATGCAGCTGTTGGCATGGCAAGTCTAAGGAGCAACGCATACATCACAGTTCAGCCCCCCCCCCCACACACACACACACTGTCCACTAGAGGTATCTGTGCATGCACTGTGCTTTGCTGGAGGGATGTGAAAATGAACACGCACAAACTTCTCCCAGGTCACCACCCAACTAAAGTTTGCTAAACCCTTGAAGGCAAAGGCAGCACTGACCGATTGAGAGCAGTACACAAGAACAAGAAGGTGAATAGTCACCACTCTCTTGTTATTACTAGGTGCCTCCCACAACACCAGTGACAGGAAAAGAGCACAGAAAGAATTATTGCAAATGGCTTCAGAGCCATACAGCAGCCAGCAGCAGTGCATGATCTTATCCTACGGTGCAGAGCAGTGCAGTGTATAGGATGACTGCAATTGGCTTCATATCCATACAGCTGCAGCCAATAGTTGCAGTCTGTACCAAGCCAGACCATACTCTGCATGTGGTGCACATAATACTCAACACCTGCGTGTACAGCGCCAAGCTCACCTTCAGTTTCCCGCCTCTCCAGGTGTAGAGATTGCCATCGAGTGCGGGCACCACTTGGTATGAACCAGCCTGATCTTGAAACTCTACATTGGCTAGACTAGACGAGAACAGAGGACCCGATGGCGAGGGTACATTCCAGATCAGACGACCCTTTCCGTGTCGTCCGGCATCAAGGGCTGAGATTTGTCCATCCAATGTACTGACAATAACCAAGGAACGAAAGCGACTGCGATAAACAGTGGAAAAGACACACAAGGAAGAGAGCTGTCAGTATGATATGGCACAATTGACTGGCACCAATACTGCAATAGGAGTGCACAGCATCAATGCTCTGCACCACGCATATCGGTATGCATACGTACACTGACACAGCATACACAGACGGACACACACACCACACACAGACAGACACACACATACACACACACGTACACACACACACAGATAGACACACACACACACACAGCAGCAGCAGCAGCAGCAACAGAAGCAGGTGCCATGAAGGCATGCACACCTGCCAGACAAGAGGTACACAAATTCCAGGAACCTGCTTATCTACTGATCATCTCTACACATATCTTTCTTTGCACTAGTTTGTACACTATCAAATGTGGCTTTGTCCACCACAGGTTCAGGATACATCTGATAATACGTGTACAGTGTGCATTGCATCATAAAAATGACATCAACTTGAAATTCCCCCCCCCCCCTCTTCACAGCAAGGGGGGGGGGGTATGTACTCTTGCAAATACTCACACACAGGCTCTAGCAAATACCCACACACAGGCTCTAGTAAATACCCACAAGGCTCTGGCAAATACCCACACACAGGCTCTAGCAATTACCTGTACACAGGTTCTAGCAAATACCCACACACAGGCTCTTGCAAATACTCACACACAGGCTCTAGCAAATACCCACACACAGGCTCTAGTAAATACCCACACACAGGCTCTGGCAAATACCCACACACAGGCTCTGGCAACTAGTGAGACTGTAGCCTAGTGACGTAGTGTAGGCAGTGCAATGCAGTGCCAGTAATAGCATTGATTTCATCATGCAATGCTAAAAAGAGCTACACTGCCACTAGTTGCACTGTCCTATACTTATACTATGTTTTGGCCTATGTTACGTACAGTGTAATGTTCTTTGCAGGAAGCAGGAAGAGTTGAGTTTGAGTAGATGCATATTAAGTGGGGGAGTTAGTGATTACTGTGAATGGTGTTCTTGATCAAGATTTCCCTGGGTTGCATGTATCATTGTATGTTCTTGTCATAGTCACAAATTGTACAATGACTTCCTACTAGGGCTGAAACGATTATACCAATTACTCGGTAATCGATCGATAATTCCTTATCAATCAAGTAATCGTTACGTTATAGATTACTCGTTAGGGGTTTTGAGTCCAAAAAGTACTGACAACTCACGTTTTGCGAAGTTTGAATCAGTTTACACTGTGAGTATGTAGTTACCTGGGACATAGTGCATATTCTGAGGTTAAATTGACTTCAAAACTGCCATGTTTCTGAGCTACCCTGTCACTAATGCAAATTTGTGGTATTATAATGCTTAGATTTCGGAAACAGAGCAATGTTTGCACAAAATTCTGACACTATTTGCTAACGATTATAATCGAAAAATCGATCGTTAAGCTCAGGAGTAATCGATAGGTGAAAATCCACGATCGTTTCAGCCCTACTTCCTACCAATAATAATTAAATAAATAATGCATTGCAACGGCCTGGTTTGCATTTGAATAATTGATAATTGACGCACAATTTTTTTTATATAGACCGAGAAGATTATGCACTTGCAGTACAGGCGCATCGCAATAATACTGTACCTTGTAGCAATTAGTGAGGATACCACCGACTGGGTAGATTGACAAGAAGCATTGTGCAACAGGAGCAGCAAGGGGAGCGTTACAAACACGAGGCTCAGCACACGGTGTTGCTCTACGAGGTGGGCCGAGCGCATTGCGAGAAACACCACATCGCAGCCAGTGGGACAGGTTTAATCCAGCCTGTCGGCCTACTTACCCACTGAACTCTCCACGTTGCGCTGTATCGTACCAACTCAAACAAATTACTATTGTACTACACAGACTACAGTGTTGTGACCAAGAGTCGTACCAATTTTGAAAAAATATTTTCTTGAGAAAACACGTCCCTGGTGTGTTGCTTCTGGATTGCCTCTCGAGCCACACGTCAGCTTTGTACAGTTGCACAAATCAGCTCAAGAAATCTCCCCTCGGCCTCCACTGTCTGTACTGCTGTTCAAAGTTACTTTGCGACGAAGAGAATAATGATGTACGCGCCTTGCACTGGTGCAGCTCTGCATACACTGGTGTCACTCCAAGTCCAAGTACTGTACCTCAAGTGTCACTGATTTCGTCACTTGTCTCGTGTGCGATGTACAGCATTCAGGCGGTCAGTACAATCTGGTGTTACCAAAGGGAAAAATCCAACCACGCCACTGATCCTGAACAGTCGAACAGTTTGGATTTTGATCTTGAAAGGAAAGTCTCGTGCCATGCGAGCAAGTCAGTTTACTGTTTTCATAGTTTTCACGACTGACAAAACTGCACCTGGCCTGTCGACATGTACATGTCCTGGCTGCTCTGGGTTCAAAGTCAAATAAAACACAACCAGTGATGAGTGTGTTTTCTACGTGGCAGATCGCGCAGGAAGCAAGACGTAAAAAGATCGAGTGGCTAGCGCTAGCGCTGCGGCCGCGGTCTGCGTAACCGCGTGCCCGCGGCGCCGCGCGCGCCGCGCCGGAATGACATCATCAGCACCGTTATATCGAACAGCAAAATAAAAGATCTACAGTCATGACATCATTATCATGGATCAAAAAGTGCGGCGTAGATAATAAAAATGCTTTTTAATTTTTTTTGATGGCTTTTGAGTATCGATAATTATTATCGTTGATGACACTACAACTACACTGTACAAGTAGTTTGGAGTATTTTCTTAGTTCGATAGCTTAGACTTTAGAGTTAGAGGTCTACATATTTCGTTTATGATGTTCAGTGCTGCAGATTGGGAGGATGGCGATACTGCTGGTCAAGAGACACTCATGTCTGGCCTCTTCTCTCCCATCGAAAGTAATCCAACTCCTATGAAATCTACTACCAAAAGGAAAAGAAATAGAGCGAAGAAGACAGGACAAGGAAGAGGTATACCTGAAACATCGACTCAAAGTCCTGAAACTGGTCCGAGCGAGGATGATCATCTTGCAAATGCAAGAAGAAAGAAAAAGAGAAAGCACGACAGTGATGGCAGTGAACAGCAGGGAGGTACAGCAATGGCAGCAGTGACTAAATCTGGAACAACACAGGATGGTGCTGCAAAGAAGAAAAGACCAATACAGACAGCTGGAAAGAACAAAATCCAGCAAAGAGAATCAGGACACATTGTTGCGGAACAAAGTCCGGACTCGAGCAGCGTGCCCAAGCATATCTCAGTTAGTGGAAAGCAGCCGAAGACGAGAAAGGACAAGAGCAAGGCTGCTCCGCAGGTAGCTACATTGAAACCTCAGCGTGGTGCTGTACGGGATAAACCGTCACACAAGAAGACCGTAGTACAGGCGACACCAGCCAAAGCTGCAGCGAGTAAGCAACACTTGCCGTATCAAGACCGCAGTGAGAGATTGCTACAGCAACAGGGTAAGAAGAGCAAGATGTCGCTGCAAGAGAAGCTGCGGAGTAAGCTAGATTCGGGCCGGTTTCGGTACGTCAATGAACAGCTGTACACGTCAACTAGTCGTGAGGTATGTGGCTGCTGGTCGTCCGTGCTGTGAGATAGATAGAGAGACACACAGGCACAGGCACAGGGAGAGAGAGAAAAACAGGGACAGAGAGACAGAGACACAGTGACAGAGAGACAGAGACACAGTGACAGAGAGAGAGAGAGAGAGAGAGAGAGAGAGAGAGAGAGAGAGAGAGAGAGAGAGAGAGAGAGAGAGAGAGAGAGAGAGAGAGAGAGAGAGAGAGAGAGTGTGTGGTGTGTGTGTGTGCGTTTGCATTTTTGTTTGCTTATGTGCAATCTTATCCTGGACGAACCTCAAGTAGTCGGGTATGCATAGAGATTAGTGGATGTGTAACCAGGTCTAACGTACACAGCGCATTGTCTACTGTCTTGGAAGCAACTACAGTCCATTTCAAAACTATAGACACGCAGTGTTTTTGAAATATTTCAAATTTGGCTTGAACTTTTTGAGAATAGTTTTCGGAATATTGCTCAGGTCCGCTCCACAATTACTCTCATATAGTTTCTAAACGATTGGATAACAGACGCCCAATTTGGAAAATTTTATGCATAAAGTGATCACAGATGTTATGTGGTATAGATGCTGGCATAACGGTTTTTGCCTAGGTACGCGTCTATAGTTTTGAAATGGACTGTAAATGTGGTTATTTTCTTGAGGAAATACGAAAAAAGTACTTCTTTTGAAGTAACATGCTGCAGTGCTGTGAATGGCGGATACAATTTGAGCTGCAACAATGCTGCACCTCCTGGACCTGGGAAATACTGTGTGCTATCGGCTACTATGTATCATCTACTTGTATTACTCACTCTACACAAGTGCACTTAATAGGGACTGTGGAGTCTTGATGATTCACCTGTATCATCCATGATCCAGTATTCTCCTTGCGTCGTCTTGTCATTCAAACTCGACATGTACTGTGTTTCACAGCAGCGTCAATTTTGTCAGATAACGTATGTTTTGTGTATCATGGCTGCCATCATATCAATGTAAATACCTATCTCCAATTTAGTGATGACTGACTTCACTGTCTTGCTGTCTCTACTGTGGATTGTTTAGGCAGTGACGCTGTTCAAGAAAGAGCCAAAGCTCTTCGACATCTATCATGACGGGTTTGCGTCGCAGGTGTCCAAGTGGCCAGTAAACCCAGTGGACGGGATCTTAGCTTGGCTGTCCAAGAAGTGAGTAACTACAGTGATGATGTGCTCAAATGAAATCTGATCTTGTGTTTGTTTTCGGGGTAACGGCCTCTTTTACGGGCGAAATACCGTCTATACATGTACAATACATCATGTGGATGTGAAAAATAGAGATACCATGAAAAGAAAAAGATATATATATATATATTCCAGTACAATACATTGGAATCCGATCTTGCGAGTCCAGTTTGCACCTTGCGCCAGTTCACGTCCTAGTGTCCGCAGGTCTAGGGCTGCGCAGCGCCCAGCGTGTACTAGTACTTGAGTCACACGGTCGGCTGTCATGGCCCTGCACTGTGTCAACCCAAGCTGTGTTATGTACTCAGTGAATCAGTGTACTTTTTGGAGTGCAGTGGATATCAGCATTACTTCATATTCTGATATGATGTGCACTTGATTGTGTGGGACATTATCCAGTTCATGCATGTACTAGTAGTACACACTATTGAACTGTGTTTGGATAAGAAGTACAGTACCGCAGGTACTTTGTACCCGTTCCTGTGCTGTTCCCGTCAGGGTGAGGGTACGTCTTATCATCACAGTTCCACTGTATATGTACTTACTTGTTTGGAGGTCGTCTTTTAGTGCCGTCCTGTCTTTATGGTCTGCATCTTCACCTTTGTGCCCAGACCGTCATCATGGACTGTTGCAGATCTTGGCTGTGGTGAAGCAAAGATCGGCCGTACGGCTCAACAGACAGTGCATTCATTCGATCTAGTGGCAGCCAATGATTACGTGACAGCGTGTGATATGGCTCATGTTAGTAGAGTTGCTGCTGTTGCTGCTGCGTTGCTGCTGCTGTTGATGTTGTTGGTGCTGCTGCTGCTGTTGATGTTGTTGGTGCTGCTGCTGCTGCTGCTACTGCTGCTGCTATGTGCTGGTGCTGCTGCTGTTGATGCTGCTGCTGCTACGGCGGCTGCTGGTGCTGGCGGTAGTGTTGCTGCTATTTGCTTGCCAATACTGGAGCCTGCTGTTGCTAGGCACAGCTGTGGATAGTATTGGTCTACATCCCCGACTGCTGACGTTAGACCGTTAACGGTAATCACAGCTGGTGTCTGGTTGTACAGTCATATGGAGATAGTGCAGGGAAGACCTGCTTGTATACCCACTGCCATGGTGAGATAGTGCAGGGAAGACCTGCTTGTATACCCACTGTCATGGTGTGATAGTGCAGGGAAGACCTGCTTGTATACCCACTGTCATGGTGTGATAGTGCAGGCCAGGGAAAACCTGCTTGTATACCCACTGCCATGGTGTGTATGATTTATCATGGAAGGTGGCTGGTATCATCTGGTTGCCATGATTGTCTTGTCTGGGATGTGTCAACCCTGTTGACGTAATCTCATTGGCAAAATGAATCTGCTTTGGCGGACATAGACCGGCAGAGAGGATACTTGTGTGTGTGTTGGTTTGATAACCACTGCAATGTGAAATTTTAAAAAAGAGAGAGGATCATCAGTTTACAAGTTATCCGTTTTGTCCAACACTAACGATTATTAGCAGGATATTGGTGAGTCATAACGTTCAACAATTAGCACAACATTGACTGATGTGATGACACTGACTGACTAAACTGCAGTGTAAATCTATTTTAACCTTCATAGAGGCAATCAGGCGGTCATAGCAAGAGGAACAGCGGTAGTAAATGTGATTTAAGACGTGGGGCATCAACAGTGGCTAACACCTTGCTCTGTTCTTATTTGGTGTGTTTCAACGTTGCCTCGGTTCTGCAGGTACCACTCGACAACAACAGCGTGGATGTTGTTGTGCTCTGCTTATCTTTGATGGGCACGAATTTGAATGACTTTGTCAAGGAAGCAAGGCGCATTCTACGCTCACGGTACGTGTGTCGGGGTGCTTCTCCCACCTGTGTTCTGAATGTATAACTGATCTGTTGAGTTGTAATCCTCCTACTTGTGACTTGGCTTTGATGTTGTGTCTCTAAGTATGTTAGTGTGTGTGTATGTGTGTGTGTGTGTGTGTGTGTGTGTGTGTGTGTGTGTGTGTGTGTGTGTGTGTGTGTGTGTATGCGTGTGTGTGTGTGTGTATGTGTTACACCTGGTTCAAGAAGCGGGACGCAGAACTGCACACATGGCAACACCCACGCTCGCAGGCATGGCACTGTATTGACTTTGTCTTCACTAGGCGAGCGGATCGTACCAACTGCATGGACTGTCATGTTGTTCGCCGTGCAGAGTGTAGCACTGATCACAGATTGGTGTGTCTGACTTATCGCCTTCCGGCACCAGTCCACCGCCAGCGCCTGCCACCGCGAAACCCTGGGAAACGTAGCGTGTTCGATGTAAGCCAATTGAAGACGTGTACGGGTATGAGTGAGGAGGAGCGGGAAGTTGTTGAGTGCAACAGGGCAGTGTACCGAAGTGCTCTTGGTGATCGGCTGAAATCGTGTCACGTCACCCATGAAGACACCTGGCAGCCTATCAAGTCGGCGATTGTAGATGCTGCCGAAGCTTCCATCCCTGCACGGAAATCTCGACGTCAGCCTGACTGGTTTGCAGACAGCGCAACAATCCTTGAACCCAAGCTGCAACATCGAAACCGTGCCTATGCCCAGTGGCTTCAGTCTGCTGATCCCGCTGACCTTTCAGCTTTCCGCAAGGCCCGTAGTGCAGCGCGTACTGCAGTTCGAATGGCAAAGCGTGTCTGGTTGCAAAGAAAGGCGGATATGGCACAGTCTGGCAAGTTCAGTGGGGAGCGCGTCTGGTCAGCCATCCGGGACATCCAGCGCTGCTACAATGGTATGAAACCTGTGGCCTCTCATTCCATTCGCAAATCTGATGGAACCCTGTGTGTGTCAGCGGAGGAAGAGCGTGTTTGCTGGCAGCAACATTTCACCCGTGTTCTCAATGTCATTAGTGTGTTCGATGTCTCTGTCTTCCAGCAGTTGTCCTGCCGGGAAGTTGACGACAGCCTGGCATGCCCTCCAACGGCTGTGGATATTGAGTGCGCTCTCCATCATCTGGCCAACGGCAAGTCGGCTTGTTCGTCTCTCATCGTTGCGGAGCTGTTGAAGTACGGCTTTACTGTTCTTCGGCCACACCTGGATGCACTCTTCTCCACATGCTGGTCAGCGTCATCTGTGCCTCAGGAGTGGAAAGATGCTGTGCTCGTCCCTATTCCAAAAAAAGGTGACTTGAGCAAGTGTGACAACTGGAGGGGAATAGCCTTATTGGACGTCGTCGGGAAGCTTCTCGCACGTGTTATTCAGGACCGGCTGCAACCTCTTGCTGAGGCACATCTCCCTGAAAGCCAATGTGGTTTTCGGCGCGGGCGATCCTGCACAGATGCCATCTTTTGTGTGCGACAGGTAGTCGAGAAGGCATTCGAGCACCGCTGTAAGGCCTTTCTCGTTTTCATCGATCTCCGCAAGGCGTACGACTCGGTACCGCGCGCTGCACTGTTGCTGGCCCTTGAGGTGTATGGTGTGCCTGGGTCACTCATCCAGCTGATTGACGGCTTCCATTCAGGCATGCAGGCTGCTGTTCGGGTTGATGGTGATGTGTCTGGGAACATCTCGGTTGAGAATGGTTTGCGGCAAGGGTGCGTTATGGCCCCACTGTTGTTTAACCTGTATTTTGGTCTTGTGCTGGAAGCATGGCGTTCAGCTATAGCAGCAGCTGGTGTTAACGGTGTGTCCCTGATATCTTCAATCCATGGAAGTGGCAATCTATTTCCCAAGCGAACTCGTCAAACTGGCACGACATCGGTCAACGACCTGGAGTTTGCAGATGATGCAGCACTACTTGCACCATCCCGTGAGTCAGCTCAACTGGCTTTGGAGCTGTTCAGCAGCGTTGCTTCTTCCTTCGGCTTGACTCTGAGTACAGCGAAGACCAAGTTCATGGCCGTTGGTGCAAATTTATCATGTGCTGACCGCCTTCCGCTCTTTGTTGGTCCGGAGGAGATCGAAAGTGTCAAATCCTTTGTGTATCTTGGCTCTGTGATAACTGCTGACACCCGCTCATCTGCAGATGTGGCCAGAAGACTCGGTAAGGCAGCGGCAGCTTTCGACCTTATGCGCCGTGTCTTTCTTGACCGAAACCTTTCCATCGCCACCAAGCGCCATCTTTACGATGTTTGCGTTCTGTCCACATTGCTCTATGCCTGTGAGTGCTGGACTCCGCTGAAGAGAGACATGGTTGCCATCAACAACTTCCACCACCGCTCCCTCAGGTTCATTCTGGGTGTATCCCGGCTCGATCAACAGCTGCAGCATGTCAACAACCAGGAGCTGCGAAGACGCTGGGGTGATATGGCACTGCCATCTGATACCGTCAGACACCGCCGTCTGCAGTGGCTTGGGCATGTCGCCAGAATGCCAGATAACCGGCTTCCGAAGCTGATACTGTTTAGCTTCTTCTCAGATCCACGCCCAGCCTGTGGGCCACGACTGCGATGGAAAGACCTCGTCGCACGTGATCTTCGTTTCGGTGGCATAGTGAATTGGCTCACTTTGGCTCAGGATCGCCCAGCATGGCGCGAGGCAATTGCAAAGACTCCGGATGATCTCGTGGAGTGTAACAACAACAAAGTCACCTGCAAGGTTTGCAACCGATCATTCACTGCTCGTGGGATTCACCGTCACAAGTGCTCAGCTGTGCGGTCCTTACCTGTTGCCCAGCAGCCTGGGGCCCGTCACTGTGGAGTTTGTGACCGCTGGTTTCAAAGCGCTGGCGGTTTTGCAGTTCATCGTTGTGTGGAGCGTCAGACATCGGACGAAATACCAGCTGTTTCAACGAGAAGCAGCCTGAATTTGGACTGCTGCCAGCACCATTGCTCGATCTGTGATCGCTGCATGAAGAGTCAGGCTGGTTTTAACCGCCATAATTGTACTCGAGGCAAACGACTGCGAAGGGACCAGAGGACTAATCTGCCCATTCAATGCAGCCTATGTAGCGAACGATTCTCCCGCCCGCAGGACCTCACCCGCCACCGAAGACAGAAACACTAGCTATGTGTAGAACGGTCCCCTTTCACCTCGATTATTCTCCTTGTTTCTTTTTTTTCTCGCTGTTGTCTCCCGCTTCTGGGAGCGACGTGGCCATTTTGTGGCAGTTGTACATAGTAGTAGTAGTGTGTGTGTATGTTAGTGTGTGTGTGTGTCTGTGTGTGTGTGTGTCTGTGTGTATGTGTGTATGTATGTGTGTGTGTGTGTGTGTGTGTCTGTGTGTGTGTGTGTGTGTGTGTGTGTGTGTGTATCTGTATCTGTGTGTGTGTGTGTGTGTTATGTATGTTATGTGTGTGCAGAGGGGTACTGAAAGTAGCAGAGGTGAAGAGTAGAATCGAAGACATAGAGGAGTTCTGTGAAGCAATCTGTGAACATGGCTTTCAAGTAAAGGAGCAGGTAATGCTTTTGTCTTGTCCAAATCGTTGACCTTTGTATTGCAACTTAGAATGAGTTTTCAGCTGCAAGTTGAGTTTCACACACAGTGCAATCCTTGGGAACACTTCTAGGTAGTGCAATTGTGAAACTTCAATTGCAAACCTCGTCCTGCCTTCTGTGTCGGGAAGCGCTGTCTACCTGATGTTGAGCACTATGTGAGCGGAGGTAGAACTTTACCCATCATAGTAGTGAGCAGAACGTGAACGGAGGTACAGTCAGACCTCGCATAACCGCACACATCCGTTTCCCACAAAATACCCGGATAGGCGAGGGAACCGGATAATCGAACACACATACTGTATGTATGCATGGCATATGCTGTAAATCGGTAACCAACGATTTCTTCCGGATGGTGAGGGATCTGGATAAAAGAGGACCGGATAAGCGAGGTCTGACTGTAGTACTCTGCCCATCATGGTATTGAGCACTGTGTGAGCGGAGAAAGTGTCCTACGTGTAACCTTTTAAATCTGCTCCAGGTCCGTGCAAAATAAGATTAACTGCTTCACTGTCATGCTGATTTATGTAAGGTTATGTTCTACGTGTTAGTTATACTGACATTGATTTGTTTGACATTGCCTTGCAGGATGAAGGCAACAAGATGTTTGTGGACATTGAGTTTCATAAGTTGGATGCCCAATCAGCTTCGCACTCATCCTACCTATCACTAAAGCCGTGCCTATACAAGCGAAGATAGCAGGTACGGATGCTCAAAGTCAGACTTTTTTTTAATATTAATAAAGAACTTCTGTTTTCATGTACATGACTATACTACGATCATTCATCGTTGTTCCAGCACTTTATGAGCCAGGCCCTAAAATACCCTGAACACCCTGTTGAAGTACACACTTGAGTGGTAACTCATACATGCCAACCGTCCAGGGTTTCCCGGGACAGTCCAGAGATGTCCTGTGCAAGTCCCAGGATTGAGATCGGACTTTTGAAATCGATGTTTTCTCATTTTCATGGTGATTGTTCAGTGTTTCCTCGAACTAGATCCGTTGTAAGCACGTGCACAGCACGTAGTACCACGTAGTAGACACAGCGCAAGCGCTCGTGTCCACAAGTGCAACTCGTTCGAGAGCAGAAATCTACTTGCAGCTTGAGACTGGACCCCAGAGTTCATCCTCATATTTCTCCTACATGTACTTGTAGTCGAAAGAGGAAGTCGCCAACTGTCACCCAGACCATATCGGTAGTGTGCAGAAACTATTTTACGTGCTTGAAGTAATGACATCCTTTTTTCTTGAGCACCAGTAATGGAAAATACATCTGCTGCTAATAATAATGGATGCGCTCAGAAAATTGGTGTCCAGGGAGAATAGTCGAAATCAAGGGCCTCATTGTCCAGGGAACTCAAGCCTCCATGTTGGCATGTATGCTAACTGTTCTAGCTTACTTGTACGCTTATTTCCTCTGAACCTCTCTTGGGTTTCTGTTGCTGCTGCTGCTGTTGTTGTTGTTGCTGCTGCTGTTGCTGTTGTTGGTTGTTGTTGCTGCTGCTGCTGTTGTTGTTGTTGTTGTTGTTGTTGTTGTTGTTGTTGTTGTTGTTGTTGTTGTTGTTGTTGTTGTTGTTTTTCAGTGGGATGTCTATAGACGGGACATACCTAACTTTGTGGACCATACCACCAGTTTCTGCAGCGGATTCGACCTAGTAGGAGTAATAGACCTTGTCGGTGTGGAAGATTGACTCGCAGTCCTCTGCTGTTGTTGACTGGTCTGGTGGTAGTCGGTTGCCGGAACCAATTAGTGGCTTCTCATCGCAGGCCTTCACAGTTCTTGGCTAGTAAAATGCCATGTCTCCGATTAGCCTGTCAGCTACTATCCTATGGTCGACCCATATGATGTCATCGTGATGTCATCACCTCAGTCACGTGATCACATGTTCCCGATGATGTGTATCCGTGGCTCGGCGCAGTGCATCAGTTTGAACTATGTTCCTTCGTATCAGTATTGTTGCCGTACTGCTGCTGCTGTGCTGGGTGATAGCCTGCACTCAATGTGGCCCCATGCTTGCACCATACTGGTAGTAGCATGTGCATCTCTAGGACTCAAGTCCAGATCATGTCACCGTGAGTGGATACTGTGCGTGCAGGAGCCGCCGCATAGCAGCAAACTGAGCGATACGAACCGGAGAAGCTTGCTCTCAGCTCGCATTGAGTAACAATGTTACATCGCTTCGTCATACTGAGAACTACACTGGTGTCAGCTGTCTACACTGCCTGTGCAGGGCGCAGGGACTCAGTTTGCGCATTTGAAAGGGAGTTTTCTATCTTTATCATTAGCGTGCATCACGCTGGTTGGCATGACGCCGTGTGTACCTGGTGTTCACACTTAGTGACCTACTGAGTGTGTGTATTTGCTAGGACTACTTGCTATGTCCTGGTCATCATCACTCTCTATGACTCGATGTGAAGTGGTTTCTTATGTTCGACAAAATCGTTGCCGTTGTTTTCTCCCAGTAGGCGCAACAATTGCATGGTTCTATTGGCCTTCAATAGTCTATGATTGTGGTGCTTGGCTCGCCATTGGCTTCTGGGACTTTTGTGGTGCTTGGCTCGCCATTGGCTTCTGGGATGCTGTCTGTCAAACGTTTGGAGTAGGTATGGTATGTGTGTGTGTCATGTTGGGTGTGTTAAACTATGTTTGCCGCACGCCATGTCTGGCTGACTAGAGCTGGCGGAGACTGCGATGTGCTGCTCCATGATCCACTGCATTGCTCTGGATAGTTACGTGCAGTGTAACATTACTGTGCAGTACTTTCCAGGAATGGCGCTGGCCTGGCGCAAGCGAAACTTCCTAAAGCTGCTTGTGCTTCTCAACGCAATTGTGTAGCTGGTTGTAACGCGGACGTGCTAACTGTCGCTTAACTGTCGCTTACGTTACATGAGCTTGCATGTCAATGATCTTACTTGTCACTTGAGACAGGCAGGACTGTGAAGACTGTGACCACGGTGCCATGTTTATTGTTTGTGGCGTGCAGGTGGCAAAGACCACACCAGACCTACAATGTACATGTACATGTATAATCTAACTCGGATGATGGTGAGCCTATCACATTATTGTGGAAAGAAGAAGGACAAAATGTTACAAGTTATGACTAACTCGCTGATTGTATAAGATCTGGTTACGTTGGTGGGCAGTTAGTCATAACTCGTAACATTTTGCCCTTCTTCTTTTCACATGTATAATCATTGAGAATTAGTCGCCTGACGATTGCATTGTGCAAGAAACTCGGAGTTGCGACCAACTCTGTATAAAACCTCCTTTGTTCTATTTGCGTGTAATTATTGAAAATTGTGTGTGAATACTGTCAGTTATTGCAGGCTACCAATTGCCAAGGACTTCGTTCATTGATTGCAGTCAGTCTCAGCCGTGGCATGGCACATTTCCCATATTGACCCCCCTGCTATACTATTATAGCTATACACCATGCATGGCAGTGGACATGTACAATCAAGAGTACTCTTGGTACAATGTATGGTGGACACTAAACGACGTGTATGCAAGATTGCATTGTTCTGTTGAATTCACACAAACTGATCTTGTATGCACCCATTCGTTCGTTCAATGATTACTACGGTATGTCAGTGTACCCCCCCCCCCCCTTTATTGGCCGTGCCGCAAGCATCATGATCAGCTCATGTATCATTACAAGTAGGCGCCGCAATGTACATGTACCAGGAAGTCGTAGCATGTACAACAGCCTGTCTGAATGTAGACAAAACAATCAAACAAAACAATCATGTACATATGTAGATGCTATGATGTACAAATACCACGAATACGTCATTGTCATTGTAGATCCAATATAGACTAAACAATTGTCACATGATTGGCAGGTAGATGTCACGGGTGCATGCATTGCAAGAACTGACTGTCCGTGGATGAACTGCGTCGTTTCGCATCAGCTTTTTTGTATGATCTGCAATCTAGAGTGTGCATTATGACTTATGTTATTGTACTCTTGCTACAAATGATTTCGAAATGCTCCACCTTTTTTCTCCCTTTCTTCTGATGACCCTCAGTTATTTTGTTTACCGTTCGACCTTCTTTGATTGAAGTGCATGCACAACTAACTAATGTTACTAATACTTACTTACTTGTAAGTTGTAGTTGTAGACTACATTGTAACTGTTGAGGCAACGAACTACATGATGAAAACGATAATCAAAAACAAACAAACACACACGAACAAACAAAACTATCTAGTAGAGGCTAGTATTGCGTGATCATGGTGATGATCGATATGCGCGATGCCACTGCACCGACATGGCCTGATGATGGCGATCGCGACCGCGATAGGCGCCTAGGCCGAGACTACGAGCGCGCCGCGTACCATGTTACCGGGCATGTACCAGCTGACTGAGCTCAGGCGAAAAAAATTTCGTCTGATCAAAATAAAAAATTTAATAAATAATTGTAATGAATGTTTCCAAAACGTGGTTTCTTTGGTTTGAGCCGCATGCCCACCGAGGTTGTGAAGTGAATTGAAGTTGCTTTCGATGGCCACTGATTTGAAGAGGTGAAAGCTTTGGAGTTCAGGACCAGAGTCGATTGGTCTGTCACGATGCCGGGATGGCCAAAAGGACCCACAGAGGTAGGCGTGAGCTACGCAGCTCATCCACACTCCTTTTTCTGCCAGCGCATGGACGAAGCAGAGGATTTGGATGCGTTGATGGGAGAACTTGAATTACACGCATCATCATTTTCTCCATTGAGCGAAACGTCTCCAGGAACCCTCTGCTGCGCCCAGTATACATTGGATGATGGCTGGTATCGTGCAAAGGTAGTGCAAGTAACTGCATCACAAGCCACTGTTCACTACGTGGACTATGGCAACTCAGAAACCTTGCCGATCTCAAGACTGCGTGCTATCCCACCGCGCTACACACAGGTATATGGCTATGCGTTGCACTGCAGTCTGTCAGGAATCATTGCGGACAGTCCGGATGGTCAGTGGAGCGAGCGTGCTAGTGCCCGCCTAGCTGCCCTGGTTCCTGACGTGGATGTGTTCATCATGCGCTTGCAGAGTGCTACCAGCAATGCCGAAGCCGTCGGGCAAGTCGACTTGATAGGGAAAGAGAGCAAAGTCAATGTGGCCCAGGTACTTGTGAAGGAAGGTCTTGCACAACAGTCGAACACTGGCAGTGATACGTCCAACACTGCAGAGCCGGAGAAACTGTCCGTGGCTATTACATTCGCGTCGAGCCCGAGCGAATTCTGGTATCAAGTGGAGGGTGCTTCTGCGGGCAGATTGGACGAGCTTTTCGAGCTACTCGCCAGCTCCTATCAGGGCGATGATGCAAAGCTAGCGTTTGCTTCGCCTGAGCTGGGAGATTGGTGTGGTATGTACAGCAGTGACGATCAGCTGTGGTACCGTACTGTTGTGACCTGTCAGGCCCCGCTGACAGTGCGCTACCTAGACTACGGTAACATCGAGTATCCACAGACCGTCAGACGCTTGCCGGAGCAGGCGTTGCAGTTGTCGCCGCAAGCATTCCAAGGCTGCCTGCTTGGCGTCCGCAGCACGGAGGCCGACGGTGCATACTGGTCTGAAGCAGCATGTGCTGATTTCCTGGACTGGTGTAACTATGGCGAGGAGATGTTCTCAGCTATACGCTACGACGGTGCATACTTTGAGCTGACTACATCAGCAGGAGAGTCTGTCAGTGACTTGCTGGTGCAGCGAGGTCATGGCCAAGTGGACAGGGCCAATGCACGTCAGGCATTGTCAATGGTTGCGCAGCTTGCTCCAACCGTAGCTCACTCTAACCTGGCAATCAGCGATGACTGGGTGGACGTCATGGTCAGCCATGCCACCTCACCACAGTCCTTCTATGTTCAGCTGTGCCAGAACTGTGTAGCCTTCCGTCATCTCACACAGCAGCTGAGTTCAGCTGCAGCCAGTGCATCTCCTCTGCAGCAACCCCTGAAGGCAGGAGATATGTGCGCTGTGCAGTATGAGAATGATTGGTGCCGTGGCAAGGTTGTGGCCGTCGATGCCACTGGCAATCGCTACCAGGTGTTCTTCTGCGACTTTGGCAACACGGAGGCGCTACCATTGTCCGCCCTGCGTCCCATAGCACAGTGGATGTGTGTGCAGAATCAGCAGGCCATCCGCTGCTCTCTTGTCGGCGCAGGGGCTGCGGCCAACAACCCAGGCGCCGTCAATGTGCTGCGGTCGTACGCGCAAAGTCAGACCAGCCTGGTAGCCCAGGTCAAGCAGCGTAACGAGGACGGTCACTTGATGCTCAACCTAATGGACACGGTGTCCAGTGCCGGTAAAGACCTCAATGTCTTGCAGGCTGTTCTCTCCGCAAGCAGCTCAGCAGCGGCCAGTGCTGCAGGAGCCCCAGCTGCATCTGATACCTCTGGCAAACCAACACCAAGCTCAAGCACGACGACCACCGCAGCCACATCAGCCAGCCGCCCTTCTGCTGTCTATACTTACCCAAGCATCAGCCACGGCAAAACGTTCTCCGCCACCGTAACTCATTGTGTATCGCCCAGCGAGATCTATCTCACCCTTGACTCCATGGCGGAAGCGCTGGACACACTCATGGCAGGACTGGAAGAGGCTGGCCCTACGCTACAGCCGCTGACCGCACGTGTCAACGGTACGCCGTGTTGTGCAGTGTTCAGCCTAGACGAGGGTTACTATCGAGCCCAACTGACTTCTGATGAGCGTAGCGGAGCAGTTGACGTCCAGTTTGTTGATTACGGCAACTCTGAGTCCAGGACGGCTGATCTAGTACTGGACCTGCCTGATCAGTTCATCAAGACTCCATTGTGCTCATTGCGATGTAGCCTAGCCGACCTGCAGCCTCAGCAGACTTGGCCTCAAGCAGCTTGCGAGGAAGTCACCAGTCTACTAACTGATGCTGCGGTTCAGGTGACGGTGATGGGTGGCGAATACTCTGCTACCTCGTCGCTGGCCGTACGCCTGCTGCTAGATGGTAACAACGTAGCTGAAATCCTCCGCAAGAAGAACCTTGCCAGTCCTGCCCAGGGCACGGCGACTGCAGCTGTGCCACCGGCCCCCAGCACTGCAAGCCCGCAGCAGGCACCAGCAGCAGCACCACCAGCAGCAGCAGAAGCTCGATCTGCTCCTCAGCAATTGCCGCAAGCCAATGTTCAGACTGGCTCACACAAGGGTTTCTTCATCCACGCTGACTCGCCCAATCACTTCTGTGTTCAACTCAACGATCACGCTGCACAGCTGGAGTCGATCGCGTCTGACCTACAGCGAGTCAGTCGTACACCAGCACGCGGCTGCAACGTCGGTGATTTTGTCGTGGCACCATTCAGCGAGGACAACGCCTTGTACCGTGCACGTATTGTTCAGCTGAGTGACACCGCAGCTAGGGTGTCTTATGTGGACTATGGAAACTCGGACACTTGTCCAGCGTCCAGTATGCTGCAATGCCCTGACAATCTGCTCAAGATCCCAGCCATGGCTATCCGCTGCTCTCTGCTCAATATCGTGCCCGCTACTGGCAACACGTGGGATGAGAGGGTGAACAAGGTGATCCAGGGTATCGCCGAGCGTGCTGACCAGATGACAATCAAGTTCCACCAGTGCAGCAGCAACGATGACGCCGCCGGTGTATGGTCTGTCAGTGTACAGGATATGCAGAACAGAGACCTTGGTGACTATCTACTCTCATCCAGGATGGCACGACGTGCTGATCAAGGCGCAGCAACCCCAGCAGCAGCATCACGGCCTGCTACCAACAACACTAGTACTGCCACAGCACGAGACTCAGCGCCAGTGCCATCATCGTCATCAGCAGTAGCGTCGGTGCAGCTGCGTAGTCTCAGCCTGGAGGCCGGGTTCAGCAGCTTGGTGTCTATACCGTACGCCGTGAGCCCGTCGGAGTTCTGCTGTCACCTAGACAGTAACGCAGCGCAGCTAGACCAGATGATGGGGCAACTTGAGGAGATCTACACCTCTGCTAACATCCCACCGTTGCTTGTGAACGCCGAGTCCGGCGTGGCTTGTGCTGCCCAGTTCACTGAAGATGATGTCTGGTATCGGGCAGTAGTTCAGAGTGCCGAGGCGCCTGACTCTTACTCGCTTGTCTACGCCGACTACGGGAACTCGGAGACTTTGAGTCGCCAGCGTGTGCGCATGCTGGCACCGGCCCTGTCCAGTTTGCCCACGCAAGCAGCGCGATGCTGCCTGCACGGCTCCATGCCGTCCAACACCTGGCCAGAAGGTGTCTGCGCCAAGTTTGACGAGATTGTCCGCGACGAAGCACACCAGTTCCGCATGGAGGTGGTTAGCGTCCTGTCCGGAGTGTTCATTGTCAAGCTGTACGACGAGACTAACACGTGTTTCTCGGATATCTTCACCATGTCTGCCCCGGTCAGCGCAGCACCTTCCCCGGCCATTCAACAACCTGTCTCCACTAAGCCGCCGACCAGGTCGGACAACACTGCTTTCCGTGCCGACACCGTGCACAAGGGAACGCTGTCGTTCTTCGTCTCGCCGCAGTGTTTCTTTGTCCAGATGGACGCGGTGCAGACGGACATTGCTGAGATCATGAACACACTGGCATCGTCGGAGACCGACTATCTGAGCGCAGCCGTGGCAGGCACTCTCTGTGCAGCATGTGCCAGTGATGGGACCTGGTACCGTGGACAAGTGTCTGAAGTCAAGGGTGTACAGATCACCGTCGACTTCATCGACTACGGCTTCAGCGAGACTGTAGCTCTGGAGAACATGAGCGAGTTGCCGGCCGGTGTGTGTACCCAGCGTCCGGCATTGGCCACGTGCTGTCGCTTCTACGGCATACCGGATAACCTGGAGTTGGCGGAGGCAGCACACGCCATGGCCGAGTCGCTTTGCGAACAACCAGTTGTGGTGGCAGTCAGGTCAACGCAGGCTGACAGTGTATTGGAAGTCGACGTGACCATGGCGGACGAACGCAACTTTGCGCAGATCCTTGGCCTGGCAACGTCACCATACACACCACCAGCAGCAGCTCAGCCAGCTCACAGTGCTGCTGCTACTTCTACACGTGCGCCCGCCACTCCTAGCTCTGGCTCGGCAAGTAGCGATGACTCGCTGGTCATTCCCGCAGTCCATCTGCAATCCGGCGCCGCTTGTACAGTGTCCGTGTGGGAATGCCACTCACCGATATCTGTCTGGTGTCAGCTTAGCGACGATGCAAGCCTGGCCACTATCGATGAGCTGCAAGAGGCCTTGGCCAATCACTGTGCAAGTGCTGCTGCACCCTCGCGGGTCACCCCGGGCATGTCATGTGCTGCGCTGTTTGATGAAGATGGCATCTGGTACCGAGCCACTGTTCAGAAGCGTGTTGATGCCCAGTCGTTCAAGGTCGTTTTCTCCGATTTCGGCAACTCGCAAGTTGTCAGCATCACTAATCTGCGCCAGCTGTCGCCGGCGCTGGTCCAGCAGCCGGCTTTTGCATTCCGATGCGTCCTGGCTGGCTTCGAGGACTGTGTAAGCAGCACCTTCTACCAGTCCGTGTGCAGCGCTCTTTCCAAACTGGTGCTGGAGCAGCAACTGCAGGCGACGCAGGTGGGATCGTGTGTATTGGACGGCCTAGCTGTACCTGTGTGCGAGATAATGGACGTAAACGGTTTGAACATCGCCGACAGTCTCAAGTCCAGCACTACACCTACCCCGCCGGCTGATCTGCCCGTTGTGGCAATGCCAGCAATGCCTGCTGTAGGTCAGCAAATGTCCGTGTTTGTCTCATACGTGTCGTCAGCCAGCGATGTTTGGCTGCAGCCATCGTCCACAGCTGATGAACTGGCTGCTCTTCAGGAGAAGCTGTGTGTTGCCTATGGTGACGGCACGTCTGTTTCACGCCCTGAAATCCTCTCGCCCGGTATGTGTGTGGTTGCTGTGTACGAGGAGGACGGCGGTTTCTACCGTGGCGAAGTGCAGCGTGTCACACCACGCACCGCAGAAGTGTTCTTTGTGGACTATGGAAACAGCCAGACCATCCAGAAGGCCGACATCTACTCGCTGACAAATGAGTTTGTTGCTCTTCCTCGCCAAGCTATCCTTTGCCAGCTCAACATGCAGCCTGCTGATGGTGTGAAAGAACGGATGGAGGAGCTACTAATGGACAAGGAGGGTGTCTTGTCAGTGCAGCTGGTCAACACTGCCACATGTGTGCATGGTACTCTGTCTGTCGATGGTGTTGATGTGGTCAACACACTTCAACCTGCACAGCAGGCTGCTGTTGCTGCTACTTCAGCCCCTGCTGCTGCTGTTGCTGCTGCTACTTGCTCAGCTGTAGATCTGGTTGACTACTGCACTCTGGTAAAGCCTGGCGAGACTCACATTGTACGCTGGGTTGAAGTGGTTACTCCCGATGAGATGTACGTTCAGCGTGCTGATGCAGCCACCGAAGACGCCTTAGCTGATCTGCAGGAAGAGATGAAGGTGTACTATGCCAGTGCTGGACACTCAGTGGCCGCCAACGACGTCGCTAAAGACTCTTTCTTCGCCGCTCAGTTCTCGGAGGACGATGGCTGGTACAGAGCTGTTGTTCTTGCTGTAGACGGTGACAAGGCCCATGTCTCGTTTGTGGATTATGGCAACAAGGAATGGTGCGGCTTTGAGCGCCTGCGTCACTTAGAAGCCCAGTTCACATCCCTTCCCCAGCAGTCGTTCTGCCTGGCTCTACCCGTCGACTCCACCGACGTGGAAGGATGGACATCAGAGGCAGCCGATATGATCACGGCATTGGACGTTGACACTGTCAAGGCGGTAATTCTTTCGGCTGATGATGGCTACGTCATCGCCAATTTGTCTAGTGACACTGATATTGTAGCGCAAGTACTGGTTGCCGGTGGTCTTGCCGTTCATCATGAGTTCGCAGCACCACACGAGGAAGTTGGAGCATCGCCACAGTCCTCACCGGCGCAGTCAGATAACAGCTCTGATCTCTCAGGTAAGTGTCTTGTAAAGCCTCTGCTCTCTCTCTCTCTCTGCTCGTGACCTGACTTGCCTTTTAGTCATAGGGAGTGATGACGGACGGCTATGACTATTGAATTCTGGTGATGTGTTTGGTGTATGCACATCCAGGGAATAATTTTCTGATAATTTTTGGCATAGCAATTTTGCTACAAAAAATCAACTTGAATAGCAATTCAAAAATATTGCGTAGCAATTTTCTTCAACACTTGACAACATTGTCTTTCTGCAGAGCTGACCAGAGTGCAATCTCAGACCACAAGAACACTGTGACACCTTAGTTGCAAACCTAACCTGGTGCCAGAATCCATAGCTCAGCACTTTCGAAGCTTCATGCATCTATTTCATCCGTAAAAGGCACACCTGGCATGCACACTGTACATCATAGGGTACAGTGACTGCACAGCATGCATCGCAGTTTTCTGCGACACGTTTCTGAAGTTGCTTTACACCTGAGAAGAATTGCAAAGCAAACTGTGATGCTATACCGGTTAAAATATTGCCTGACATCAATACATCAATAGTGAATTGAACTTGTGGACTCATGTACACGGTGCATTTTATGTCAAAATTGATAGCGTTAGCGGCAAGAATGAAAAGTGTCCTGCCTTATGAGCTGTGCTCTGAGTATTTATGAGCATTCTTCGATGGTGCCTGTATGAAATTTGGACTTTCCCCCGAGATATTCTGACATGTCACCAATCTAGTATGGCACGTTGATCATGAGCTGACCTCTGGTTGATCTCTCTCTCTCTCTCTCTCTCTCTCTCTCTCTCTCTCTCTCTCTCTCTCTCTCTCTCTCTCTCTCTCTCTCTCTCTCTCTCTCTCTCTCTCTCTCTCTCTCTCTCTCTCTCTCTCTCTCTCTCTCTCTCTCTCTCTCTCTCTCTCTCTCTTTCTCTCTTTCTCTCTTCTCTCTCTCTCTCTCTCTCTCTCTCTCTCTCTCTCTCTCTCTCTCTCTCTCTCTCTCTCTCTCTCTCTCTGTTTGTGTGTGTGTTTGTTGCCGCCCCAGGCTCCTCTCCAGAGCAAACTGGCCTCTCCCCATACCGCTTTGAGGACGAGCATGCCAAGGATGCTCACGTTGTAGTTTCCTTCGTAACGTCACCATTTGAGTTTTACTGTCAGCCTATGTCGCTGAGTGACGCATTAGCCGATCAGCAGGCTGCCATTGAGACATATGTCACGGAGAGTGCCAGCCCTGACAGCACCATGGAACCGCATGCTGGTATGTATTGCTTGGCGATGTTTGAAGACCAGTGCTGGTACCGTGCCCTCATTGAGGCCGTCGCCGACTCAGCCACCTCCGTCTCCGTGTTCTTCGTGGACTACGGCAATCAGGGCGAGATCAGTGTGTCCAACCTGTTGCCACTGCCCGCTCAGTTCACTCAGCTTCCCTGGTCTGCCGTCAAGTGTAGTATGTTCACTGTAGAACCGTGTGCCAAAGCTGACAGTTGGCCTGCTACGGCTACGGATGTGTTCACGGAGGCAGTGCAGGATCAGGAGCTTCTTCTCTCGCTCAACAGTCTACTCGACGGAGAGCCACCGATTTACTTTGTGGACCCGCTCGACATGGCCAGTCAACCCATGTCAGCCGTCTTGATCTCCTCGGGCTTGGCCGACAAGACTTGCTCGGATGTGGAGTCTGTTGCGTCGGGGTCTGCAGTGGGCCGTCCCCACGGTGATGCCTGGTTGGCCCACTGCAGTCCAACATCAGGCACGGCCGTTCGCGTCCTGGTCAGTTTAGTAGCCTCGCCGTTTGAGATCTGGTGTCAGCTAGTCGTGGACGCAGACAACCTGAATGCCTTGGCCCAGGACCTAGCTGATGTGTACGGCAGTGAGCAGCAGCAACCTGCGCGTCTACAAGTTGAAGAGCTGGTGGCTTGCAAGGCATGTGTAGCTCAGTTCAGTGAAGATGAGTGCTGGTATCGTGCCGTCATTCTCAACGTAGATCACGGAGCCGAGAAGGCATGTGTGCGCTTTGTGGATTTTGGCAACACCGACACAGTGGACTTCAGCTGTATCAAGGTACTGCTTCCTGTCTTCACTCACTTGCCTGAGCAGGCGTTCCACTTGTCTCTGCAAGGCATTCGCACGGCTGATGACGATGACAGCTGGTCGCCGGAAGTGCAGGACTTCCTTCAAGTCATGGAGGGCACCGAGTGCGATGTGATTGTGTCGAACGTCAGCGATGCGAACGATCACGCTGCCAGCTCACGTGTCTTCTTTGGGCAGATGCGTAACGCCGACGGTGAGGATGTTGCTACATGGTTGACGCGTAACGGCTATGCCCAGCTGATCAAGGCCATTGATGCTGCTGTGCCACCGTCACCGGTATTGCCATGCTCACCCACTCCTTCACCGGCGGCTGCTTCTGCTAGTGCTCTCTCACCGAGTGTGCCTGCTGGTGCAGAATCTTCATCCAGGTCAACGTCACCTCTCTCATCTGCTAGAGTGAGCTCATCGTCTTGTCTTGACCTGTCACCGTCATCTTCCTCCCCATCCCCGTGTGTGGCCGTTAGCCCAGCGGCAGCAGTTGCAGCAGCGCATTCGCCCGCCCGCTCCGTATCACCGGTAGCCTCCGTGTCTCCTGCTCGCTCCGTATCACCGGTACCATCCGCGTCACCAATCCGTAGCACATCGCCCGTTGTGCCGGAGCAGTGCCTCAATGATCAGCCTGTCTCACCGCAGCTCTCGCCAGCGGCGGTCTCCCTGTCTCCTGTAGCTAGAAGCCCATCGCCAGCACGGTCTCCCGTAGCTAGAAGCCCATCGCCAGCACGGTCTCCCGTAGCTAGAAGCCCGTCGCCAGCACGGTCTCCCATAGCTAGAACCCTGTCGCCAGCACGGTCTCCCGTAGCTAGAAACCCATCACCAGCACGGTCACCAGTGCGGACTTGTAGCGATGCCAGCACCGCTGCCGCTACTACTGCAGATCCCCCGTTAGAAACTGGACAACTGGTGGAGCAGGCCGCTGCGAATGTCTCCGCCGTACCATCAACCACCTCGTTTGCCGCCAACTCAGTGGGAAGAATCCGCCGTGATGCGCACGAGGCGAGATCACAATCATCCTGGTCTATTGCAGCCAGCACTGCATCAGAGCCCGGTCAAGCCGGCGCTGGTGACCTGCTGGCTTTAGGTCAGACCGTGGCCATGGAAATCACGCACGTCGAAACGCCAACCGACTTCTGGTGCCAAGTGCGCACCAATGCTAGCAGTCTGGAGCGCATGATGGACTTGCTCAACTCCCAGCAGCCGCCAGTCTTGGCAGAGCCAACTGTGGGTAACATCTGCTGTGCTATGTACACCGAGGATAACAGGTAAGCAGCTGACTGGCCATTACCAGTAATAGACACCCTTAGCAAACAACGATAACACTATTTTTTACGGTACCCGTACCTTGATCACCCAAATAGCATCGAAGCTGCGTAAAAACGTTATGGGGGCTGATTTAGCGTTGTGACAAACTGTACGTTTTTTGGCCAAATATTGCGCCGTGCGTACCCATTTCACCTTGTATCGCGTATATAGCGCCATAAGGCGCCGGTCACACATGCATGGCGCTTTTGCGACACCACCAAAGCTGCACCACAAAAAGTTGGGATATCCCCGGATCACCATGGATACTGCGCCTGGCACCACTGGCGCCGCGGCGGCAATCTCAAAAGCGCCACAACGAAAAAATTGATGGCGAAACACAAAAGCGGTAGTGCAACTTTTGCGGCGTTGTCGTTGTTGGATCTCTTGGATCTTGGAAAAAATAGTTTTTCATCTCTCGTCATGAAGTGGACTGCTGACCAAGAGCAACTGCTCCTCTCCCTCTATTTCGAGGTCAAGACAAGACACCAGAAAAAAATGACAAGAGATGTACAGAGGTACAAATGGATTGTTGACAAGCTGAAGGAGGAGGATGTAGTGGTCGCCTGGAAGCAGGTCAAGGATAAGATCGGGCGCCTGAAGAAGACGGGCTCCAAAAAGGTTAAACTTCATGTGCAGCCCAGAGTGCGCAGAAGCAGGCTAGAGCGAACCGGGGCAGCTGCTGCTGATGATGATGATGATGAAGATGAGCTGGACTGGGAAGAGATTCTCAAAGAAGCGAAGTGGCCACTACTCAAATATTTCTATGATCTGTTGAAGTCTCATCCCACTCTGGGACTGGCTATTTCCACTGATAGTGCCCAAGACACCAGTGAGGATGATGATGATGACAACAATGCTGATGATGCTGAACAGGCAGCTTCAGCAGAGGCAGCCAACCCCAGTGCTACGAGCAACAGAGCTAGTACAAGCAGTGATAGCAGTACTGCACACACTACTGGAAACAGTGGAACTTTTGGTGATGGTGACATAGATGATGATTTAGACCATGACGTGGCTGATGACAGCGAGGCCGATAGTTCTGATGGACTTCCACCAGCACGTGCTGCAGCACTTTCAGCACAGCCTGTCCTCCCATCTGCAGCATTGCCTGCAGCAGCACTTTCAGCGCAGCCAATCGTATCATCAGCAGCATTGCCTGCAGCAGCATCTACCCCACTGCCTCTACCGACGCAGGCAACAGCAAGGCCACGAGCACAGGTGCAAGCTCAAACTCGACAGGAGCCGCACAATGGCCGTGCTCGGCCTGCCTTGCCTCCAACACCACCGAGTCGTGTTGGCAGAAGTAGGACGGCAGCACCAGAGCAACTGCGCCAGCAACAGGACCAGTTCTTGGCATCATTTGGCAACATCATGCAAGCGCATACACAACAAACCATTACACTTCAGGTAAGCAACTGTTTCCAAAACTGCCTTTTCCAAAATAGATTCTGGAAATATGGTCTGAAATAGACAGGAGATTGTTGGCCATGTTCCTTAAAATTTGAATTCTACTGTAGTATATTATAGATTTGTATTGGCTACTCGTTCATAATTGTGGTATCTACTTTACAGAATTGGAATTAGTGAGAATTCGCAAACAACTTGGCCAATGAAACATCACTAGCAGTCTAGCAGCAATACTTAGTCCTCTTGTGATGGTTGTTTGTGTGCTTTGACCGCAGGCACAGCTACAACAACAGCAGCAACAATTTGAGAGCGGATGAGAGATCGTGAGGAGAGAACGTCATCAGCCACACAACGGCAAAATCAGGAATTCCAGATGACTGTCCAGCAGTCAATGATGACATTCCAGGCCACACTTGTGAGCAACCTCTTCAATGGTCCTGGACCAAGGTCTTCCCGGAACGAGGAGCAGGACTGAGCTTGTTTTGTGATAAATCCTTTCTTCGATTTTTTCAGCCGTGTTCTTCTCTTCGATTTTTTAGGTGCAATTTAGCACGCTGCGGTTTTTTTATACGCCTTCTGCACGGGCAAAACAATAAAGTTGCATTCAGTGCTTCTCGTTCACACAGAGCAGGTGTATAAATTCATCAATGGAATGGATTGTACTCAGTGTGGAAATAAGAGGCCAGCAGAACCGTATTGCTCAAACAACAGGGTGATCTCGGTGAGTACGCCGCGCTAGCTTCCTTCTCACCGTCCAACCTGCTTGTTGTAGTCATCGTGGGGTTGGTCATTTGGTCCTGGGTGGAACTGATTGTACGTGGCAGTGTTAATTAGCCAAGTCGGTTCCATAGGACACTTCCATCTCTCGCAGATGTTGTGCAGACCGCAACAGACAATGGCCACATCAGCAGCGAAGTCGGGATCGTCGAGGTTATTGTGGACTAGCACACGGAATCGACCCTTGAGTCGCCCAAACGCCTGCTCCACTACACACCTTGTCCGAATAAGCCGGTAGTTGAATGTCCGTTCATGTGGCTGAAGTCCAGCTGAGTCATCAAAGCACTTCATTAGAGTGGCACACAGGGGGAATGCAGAGTCTCCCACAAGGTAGGGCCGTATGTACGTGCCTTCAATTCGAAAGTTGTCTTGTATGGTCAGCCACTTTTGCTGGGAAATCCTGCGTAACATTGTTGATGTGGCATACGCACTGGCATCCCCAGCAGACCCAGGCCTTCCGGCATTCACGTTGATGAACATCCCGCACGCATCTACAGTGCCCAATAAAATAATTGAGCAGTACTTCTTGTAACAATAGTAGCAGTCACCAAACATGGCCTTTGGCTTTCGAATTTTAACAAATGTTCCATCCACGGCTCCTGCACACCTTTCCAGGAATGATAGGGACTCGAATTCTGCCATCACTCTCTTCAGCTCTTGTCCCTCTGGGAAGCGAATGGAATTCGGCACCATGTGCATCTTCAGTGCACGCACAGTTTCATGGACTATCTTAACAGCGGTTGACTTGGCAATGCCATGCTGACGGGCTAGCTGCGAGTAGCTATTGCCGTTGGCAAGCCAATGCAGCGTTATTGCCAGACGTTTGTGGCTCGGTACACACAACCAGTTACCTCCACTTGCTGTCCTGGAATGTAATATACCGGCCAAATTCCACATGGAGATGCCAGAACTCTGATTTGCCCATTCGCACATGCTCCATATACTGTTGATCTTCAAAGTCGGGGACATTCCATTGCACGGACATTGTGGGATAATTTCTCAAAAAATCTTCATCCCATACATTGCCATCTCTGAGAGCAGCCCAGAAGCGTCGTTTTCTCTTGTATCTACCGAAGAGAAGGTCACGCATGTGCAGCAAACCAAACAGTGCCATCATCTGCATCCATACAGGCTGGGTGTCATCAACCATCCGACATGGGACTTGACTCAGGCGTCCACCGATGCTCAAGGAGCTTCCGCAAGATTCAAACGAAGAGAAATTGAACAACATGAATATTGAGGCAATCTCCATAGCTCTCCGCAGTCGCTGGTCACGACGTAGTCGGCGATTCTGGGCGTTTCTGCGATCCATACCAGCGCAGGAAAGGAAAGACAACAGTGATAGGAATTAAAAATGAAACAGCCAACTCAGTCAAAATGCAACAAAGCAGGTAACTTCCTGAAGAATTTTGAGGCTACAGTCTTTTTCAGAGAAAAGTTTTACGACACCTGTGGAGACCCGTGAAGCTGCGTGCGTACCAAAGCCTTTGCATGTGTGACCGCCGGCAGAAAAGAGCCGCAAAAGCGCCCACTGCCAGCGTGTTGGAGGCAGCCGCAAAAGCGGTGTCGCCGCCTGCATGTGTGACCGGCGCCTTAATGGTTGTACCATGTGAAATAAAAGCTGTCTACTGCCAAATCCTATATACATATAGGATTTTTTGAAATTTTTCAAATAATCATGACCATGCCTCCACCCGGGATAAGTTGTGTGCCTAAATTGTATTGTAAGGTGTTAGGGCAGTATCAGTAGGTTCTCTTGAGAAGTTTTCAAGAGTGCCAGTATTATCACTGCTTGACTTATAGGGCCGTTTTAGAGAGGACATGTCAGTTTTTTGTGGAATCCTATAATTATTATACATGTATAGGATTGGAGTGTTCTGCATCATCCAGAGTGTTGTAATGGATGCAGATGATGATGGAACTGGCAGGGAAAGTAATATAGAATGCTTAGTATGCGGAATAAGTACATAGATTATCATGAATAGATGTTTATGACTAATTGGGGAGTTCTGCCACAGGTTGGCATATCTAGTGTTTGTGACTGATTGGGGAGTTCTGCCACAGGTTGGCATATCTAGTGTTTGTGACTGATTGGGGAGTTCTGCCACAGGTTGGCATATCTAGTGCTTAGGGCTGAAACAGTTATTACGAATAACCGGTTATGTAACCGTTAGGGCCAAACAAACGGATAACCGGTTATGCAGCGATTTTTTCGAACATTTCTTGAAAAATAGGAACCTTCATAACTCCGTCATTTCTTGTTCAAATTCAACAATCGAAGGCTCTACGTGGTAGCGGGAACTCCGAGCTCTCCATTGCAACAATCGCCGAAGATCTGCGATGTCTGACTCCAGAGATATCGCATGCTTATCTCAGCAAATAATATTCAAATTTTCGATCGATACGCATCACCACCTTAAGTGAAACAAAATCCTTTTTTGCGTGCATTTGGAGCGCGCGACTAGTCGACTGAGCACAAGATAGTGACGTAGCGGCCTGAAGTTCAATCGTCTCGAAATATTTGTGCGTTCTCCGATAGAAGAAAGTGAAATGGCGTTGATGGGACGGATTTGCTTGCATATCGGGCTTGGAAA